GCGGAGCTGTTTGTTCTGCTGTTTGTGTTCGTTGTGATGGAAAACGCAGAGACAAAGCAGTGAGCTGACGCAGAGCGAGGAGAGAAGAACATCAGCGCCAGTAAACACAGCACTAAATAAAGAAATAAATAAAGAGGTGAGGAATCGGGGCAATAACCCAGGTGTCAGGTCCTGCCCGAGGTCAGAGGTCAGGGATGTTATTGGCTGGTAATTTCATTAATAGAGCATGTCAGGAGCAGAGCTGGAGGCAGAACTCTCCACCAGACACAGAGATAAAGTGATAGTTCAGCCAAGCAGCAGATTCCCCCAGATTTAACCCCCTCACCTGAACGTAGTCGAGGACCCGGGAGGCTAATTTAGCTAAATAATAAAGCTAATGAGCACAAACAAACAGACATCATACAGTGTCAGACACCATATCATTTGGAGGCATGACTTGTGAATTTGTGAATTTGGAGGCACGATTTGTGAATTTGTGAATTTGGAGGCGCGATTTGTGAATTTGGAGGCACGATTTGTGAATTTGGAGGCATGACTTGTGAATTTGTGAATTTGGAGGCACGATTTGTGAATTTGGAGGCACAACTTGTGAATTTGGAGGCAAGATTTGTGAATTTGAAGGCATGATTTGTGAATTTGGAGGCACAACTTGTGGATTTGGAGGCACGACTTGTGTATTTGTGAATTTGGAGGCATGACTTGTGAATTTGGAGGCACGATTTGTGAATTTGTGAATTTGGAGGCACGATTTGTGAATTTGTGAATTTGGAGGCACGATTTGTGAATTTCGAGGCACGACTTGTGAATTTGGAGGCACAGTTTGTGAGTTTGTGAATTTGGAAGCACGATTTGTGAATTTGGAGGCACGACTTGTGAATTTGGAGGCACAACTTGTAATTTGTGAATTTGGAGGCATGACTTGTGAATTTGTGAATTTGGAGGCACGACTTGTGTATTTGTGAATTTGGAGGCACGACTTGTGAATTTGGAGGCACGACTTGTGAATTTGTGAATTTGGAGGCATGATTTATGAATTTATGAAATTGGAGGAACGATTTCCATTTAAGATGGAACTGAAATTTAAACCAAAAAAGAGCAGCCGTGTAAAAACTGTTTTTGCCAGGCGTAAAAATGAAGGACGTCTGGGAAGCCTTTACTTGTTGGTACATTGCAGTGAGGATTTGATTGAGCATTAGTGAGGTCAGGTACTGATGTTGGATGGTCAGCTCTGGGTCACTCCAACTCATCCCAAAGGTGCTGGATGAAGCTCCATCACTCCAGAGAACACAGTTCCACTGCTCCACAGCCCAATGCTGGGGGGCTTTATACCCCTCTAGCCCACGCTTGGGTCGCGGTGGGGTGCTGGAGCCTATCCCAGCTGTCATTGGGCAGAAGGCAGGATACACCCTGGACAGGTCGCCAGTCCATGTCAGGGCAGACAGACAGACACATTCACACACACACTCACACCTAAGGGCAATTTTAGCGTGTCCAATCAGCCTGACTGCATGTCTTTGGACTGTGGGAGGAAACCGGAGTACCCGGAGGAAACCCACACAGACACGGGGGGAACATGCGAACTCCACTATTATATATACTGAAACTGTAAAAAATTTTGTTGCCCTGTGGTGTAAAATGTTGGCCGTTCTACTCGCTGTTACCGCACATGCACATACAGACACACCTCAGCTGGTCTGGATTGCGCTGCTGCTGCAGTAATAAGGCTCGGTTATTGACCCCGACTCTCTGTATGTGTTTGTTTTGGAGCGGGGGCTGGAGGCAGCGCTCGTCTGCAGGACAGATTATAAATTAATACAGTGGTTACATAAACACGTCTGCTGAGTGGAGCTGCAGCACAGACCCTGAGCTGCACTGCAGCGCGTCGCTCAGAGGCCGCTACCAAACCCGCAGCTCAGAAACCCAAACACTGAATGCTTACAGGCTGAGCAGAACGCAGAACCAGCGCCGGGGTTATCTCAGACACTGACGCACATACAGGGGGTCAGATTCCATGTTTGTGTGTAAATACGTTTACACATCCTCTACAGACAGCCATCTTAGATATGACATCATATTAATGCACAATATCACAAAATATTAATGCACAACTTCCATTTGCATGCTGAGTTTAACATATTGGGGAAAAAATAAAACATAAACTATGAAATGTGCTGTAACTTTCGCACAGGCTACATTTCATGTCTTATTTTTTTCATTAATATATTACATTCAGTAAATAAACAGTAATTATGTATTATTTTCACTTAGAAAACCAACAAATATATGGAACTTGACTAGGGCGCACAAACTTTTGCAGAAAAATGTGTATTTACAGTGTAGTTGGTTTTTTGTATTTATATAGGAATATATATTCAAAATCCATCAGTTTATTACGTAAAGGTGAAATTATATTGGCCCTATTGGATTCCTGTTTTGTAAATTTGAAGTTATGATTTGTGGATTTGGAGAAACGATTTGTGGATTTATGGAAATTGGAGGCATAATTTCTGAAATTAGAGGCACAATTGGTGAAATTGGAGGCATAATTTGTGAAATTGGAGGCATGGTTTGTGAATTTGGAGGAATGATTTGTGGATTTGTGAAATTAGAGGCACAGTTTGTGGATTCGGAGGCACGGTTGCTGCGCCGGTTGAATATTGAAGAATGAATGAGAATAAACTATAGATGATCTGAGCTAGTAATGTCCATTAATTTGAAAAGGGCGGAGCTAAATAACGTTTAGTTATTGAAACTGGCCAAGCGACGCCCATGGGGACAGTAAACCAGCAATGCTGAGCCCCCAAAGGAGCCCAGAGTCAGTCCTGGGTGGGACTCGGGTATTCAGGACAAGTGTGTAAACATGCTTATTGTACTGTTGAGCTAAACGGTGAGGGAAACGTTTATAAAGGCAGACACAGTTTCCAGGTGGATTGTGGGTGAATTTATAGAAGTAGAGGAATCAGGGCACACGCACATGTTTGTGTGTGTGTGTGTGTGTGTGTGTGGGTATGTGAATGTGTGTGTATGTGAGTGTGTGTGTGTGTGAGTGTGTGTGTATGTGAATGTGTGTGTATGTGAGTGTGTATGTGAGTGTGTGTATGTGAGTATGTGTGTGAGTGTGTGTGTGTGTGTGTGTGTGTGTGTGAGTGTGTGTGTGTGTGTGTATGTGAGTGTGTGTGTGAGTGTGTGTGTACGTGAGTGTGTGTGTGAGTGTGTGTGTGTGTGTGTGTATGTGTGTGTGTGTGAGTGTGTGTGTGTGTGTGTATGTGAGTGTGTGTGAGTGTGTGTATTTGAGTATGTGTGTGAGTGTGTGTGTGTGTATGTGTGTGTGTGTGTGAGTGTGTGTGTGTGTGTATGTGAGTGTGTGTGTGTGTATGTGAATGTGTGTGTGAGTGTGTGTGTATGTGAGTGTGTGTGTGTATGTGTGTGTGTGTGTGTGTGTGAGTGTGTGTGTATGTGAGTGTGTGTGTATGTGAATGTGTGTGTATGTGAGTGTGTGTGTATGTGAATGTGTGTGTATGTGAGTGTGTGTGTGTTTGTGTGTGTGAGTGTGTGTGTGTGTGTGTGTGTGAGTGTGTGTGTGTGTGTGTGTGAGTGTGGTGTGTGTGAGTGTGTGTGTGTGTGTGTGTGAGTGTGTGTGTGTGTGTGTGAGTGTGTGTGTGTGTGTGTGAGTGTGTGTGTGTGTGTGTGTGTGAGTGTGTGTGTGTGTGAGTGTGGTGTGTGTGTGTCAGTGTGTGTGTGTGTGAGTGTGTGTGTGAGTGTGTGTGTGAGTGTGTGTGTGTGTGTGTGTGTGTGTGTGTGTGTGAGTGTGTGTGTGTGTGAGTGTGTGTGTATGTGAGTGTGTGTGTGTGTGTGAGTGTGTGTGTGGTGTGTGTGAGTGTGTGTGTGTGAGTGTGGTGTGTGTGTGTGTGTGTGTGTGTGTGTGTGTGTGTGTGTGTGTGTGTGTGTGTGTGTGTGAGTGTGTGTGTGTCCTCAGGCTGGCAGTTTGCTGCATTATTCATATACACATCCTTAAGTTGCATAATACATCTATCTGCACAGTGGAGAGTCTGTAGAGGAGAGGAGCTCCGATACGGGAACTGAGGGTGTCGATATCTGATGTTTTACACATTCATATCTGCTGATATATATAAACATTCATAACCTGGAACCAGATCCACCTATTAGCATTACAGAGACACATAACAGTTATTACTGTAGGTATTGTGATATAAACTCAGTCTGTTCTACAGTTTCTCATTAGGCTGAATGAATAACTGACTCTAAATGTAGGTATTGTGATATAAACTGAGTCTGTTCTACAGTTTCTCATTAGGCTGAATGAATAACTGACTCTAAATGTAGGTATTGTGATATAAACTGAGTCTGTTCTACAGTTTCTCATTAGGCTGAATGAATAACTGACTCTAAATGTAGGTATTGCGATGTACAGTCGTCTCTCTGTGTGTCTGTATCTTTAAATCTGAGCTGAGCTTCTACAGAAACTCGCACCTCTCTCTACACCATAGCAACACACAGCTAATAAAAGAGCTCAGAGAGAGAGAGCGAGGGAAAAATGAGAGAGATAAAACTCGAGTTAGAAGCTTCTATTTCCCTCTCTCTCTCTCTCTCTCTCTCTCTCTCTCTCTGTCTCTCTCTGGTCGAGCTGTATTAGAACACTATAAATATAGCACTAGTGAATATTAGTGTGATCAGAGTTAATGCAGACAGTGGAAGCTCTCCTGTTTACTCTGCAGAGTGTCGTCGTGTTTTTCTCCGGTTGGTGGTGGTGGACACCTGGACCACCTGGCGAAGGGGGGTGGGGGTGGGGGTGGGGGGGTTACTCACCTGCTGCTGTAGAGCTGCAGTACAGTGTGAAGGAGGTGAATCACAGCTGCCTCAACAACAGACCGTGTTCCATGTTTATAGATGAGGTCACGTCAGAACCTCATCAGCAGGTCTGATAGAACCACGGCCGGCGCCTCAGAGTCTGAACCGCTGTCTGTGTGTCTGTATTCCAGGTGATGGAGCTGAAAGGTCAGATGATCCACCTGCCCGAGTCCAACTCCATCATGTTCCTCGGCTCGCCACGCGTCGACAGGCTGGAGGAGCTGATGGGGCGGGGCCTGCACCTCTCCGACATCCCCATCCATGATGCAACCCGTGACGTCATCCTGGTTAGTGTGTGAAAGAGAACCGTTACCTTCTACTTCCTCTAACTGGCCACTTTATTAGAAATACCCACCTTCTACTCCCACTAACTGGCCACTTTATTAGAAACACCTACCTTCTACCTCCACTGACTGGCCACTTTATTAGAAACACCCACCTTCTACTTCTACTGACTGACCACTTTATTAGAAACACCTACCTTCTGCTTCCACTGACTGGCCACTTTATTAGAAATACCCACCTTCTGCTTCCTCTGACTGGCCACTTTATTAGAAACACCCAGCTTCTACTTCCTCTGACTTGCCACTTTATTAGAAACGCCCACCTTCTGCTTCCACTGACTGGCCACTTTATTAGAAACACCTTTTTCTTGTTTTAATTTTTATTAAAGTTGCTGAATGATTTTAAGTGGGTGCTTGAGTGCCCCCTAGCCCCCCAGTGCTCCTGGTTACAGGGTCCAGTACAGTGGTCTTTACTGTTATTCTGAAACGTTTAAATGAATAAAGATAAGTTGAAAGTGCAGAGTTTGGTGTTGATAAGTGAGGCTGGGTTTAGCGCGGCCCAGCTGAGTGCCCACTGCTGACCTATTTTACTGCAGCGCCGAAATGAGGACAGGATCCGTGCGGTTTTGGGTTCTCTGGAGGGAATTAATAAAGAGTGGAGAGGTTTCCAGATGTACATATTAAATATGAACATGTATATTTAGATGAGCATATAGAGCATCACTAGAGTTATTACTGTTACTGTCATTTTACACTGCGATCAGTTTTCTTTATAGCTTTATTCTTTTAATTACACACCTACTATCATAATACAGCTTAGCACTTTAACTTTGACGTTAAAGGGAAACTTCACTGATTTTTCAAAATTTATGAAAAAGAGTCAGAACTGTTCACAGTGGTGGTGACAGGAACCAGTCGTCCACCTCTAAAAGCTCCCTCACAGAAAGTTACTACATGAAATGGTTATGAATTCACTGCCTGATGACTGAGACACTGTTTTATGATAGTTTAGAGAACTTAACCTCCATTCATGGTGGAGGGATACATGCAGGGCGCTGTGAGGCAAAATAGTCCCCAAAGAAAACGTATTATTTCAGATTTTCCACTATTTTCCATCATCGTGCTCTGAAACGGAACCCAGTGAAACGGAACCCAGTGAGGCTCAGGGTCAAACAAACAGCTGCTTTTTGACCCACCACATTTGGAGGTGATCCCCACCCCTGCCACTAGATTACACACTGCACCTTTCACAGTGTTATTGTTAGCGTGTGAACCGCCGTTGTTTGTGTATGCAGGTGGGCGAGCAGGCGAAGGCCCAGGACGGTCTGAAGAAGCGGATGGATAAGCTGAAGGCCACTCTGGAGCGGACCCACCAGGCCCTGGAGGAGGAGAAGCGGCGGACGGTGGAGCTGCTCTACTCCATCTTCCCGGGCGACGTGGCCCAGAGGCTCTGGCAGGGCCTGCCCGTCCAGGCCAAGAAGTTCGATGATGTCACCATGCTGTTCTCGGACATCGTGGGCTTCACGGCCGTGTGCGCTCAGTGCACGCCCATGCAGGTCATCAGCATGCTGAACGAACTCTACACGCGCTTCGACTACCAGTGCGGCGTGCTAGACGTCTACAAGGTCAGTATAGGTCCAGAGAAAGGCCATGAGAGCACCTTCTGCTTCAACTAACTGGCCACTTTATTAGAAACACCCACCTTCTATTACCGCTAACTGGCCACTTTATTAGAAACACCCACCTTCTATTACTGCTGACTGGCCACTTTATTAGAAACACCCACCTTCTGCTTCCACTAACTGGCCACTTTATTAGAAACACCCACCTTCTATTACTGCTGACTGGCCACTTTATTAGAAACACCCACCTTCTGCTTCCACTAACCGGCCACTTTATTAGAAACACTCACTGTCTACTTCCACTAACTGGCCGCTCACTCTCTCTCTCTCTCTCTCTCTCCATCTGTCTCTCTCCTGCTCTCTCTCTCTCTTTCTCTCTCTCTCTCTCTCTCTGTCTCTCCCTCTCTCCCTCTCTCTCTCTCTCTCTCTCTCTCTCTAGATTGAGACTATAGGTGATGCGTACTGTGTGGCTGCTGGGCTCCATAAGAAGTGTGAGAGCCACGCTCGGCCCATCGCCCTGATGGCCCTGAAGATGATGGAGCTTTCAGAGGAGGTTCTCACGCCGGACGCTAAACCCATACAGGTCAGTACGGTGAACACCTGACCACAACCTGACCACTCGGCTTATACTGCACTACCTACATTTACCGGTTTTGTCAGTGTCAACTCACACCCTGAGTTACAGCTCTACTGAAAGTGTGTGTGTGTGTGTGTGTGTGTGTGTGTGTGTGTGCGTGTGTGTGCGTGTGTGTGTGCGCGTGCAGGTGTGTGTGTGAACTTTTAACTTTGACAATGCGAGATGAGAGATAAAGGGAGAGAGAGATGAAACAAGATAAAAAGAGGTGGAGAGAGAGATTCAGAGATAAAACAGGATAAAAGGAGAGAGTGATAAAGGGAGAGAGAGAGAGAGTTCCCCCCTCCCCAGGCATGACTCAGCAAGTATGATTAGTGAGTAGAAATAGTCTACGTATGTGAATATACATATACTTCAAATATATACATATAATGGCGTCATAGCTACAAAGCCCCCCCTTCAAAGATCAGCCATCCCAGTATCCTCACAGAGTTCAAGCAGGGTCCCTGGGCATAAACCTGCCCCCCACACCCCCCTCAGTCTCGCTGCAGCAGGAGTTTTGGAATGTCCACCGTCTCGGTAAACATACCCTCGCACTCCTCCGCCAGCTCGAAATGTCCTGGAGAGCTGTGGCCAACACCGCCAGGTCCTCCGTCCAAGCGTCCTGATTGCTGCCTCTTTCGCCATCCTCCTGCTGCCAGTCCTCGCCGTATGGCTTCTTCTTCTGTCGTCCTCGGCTGGGCTCGGTTTTCTCCACCATTCGCATTTGGCTTCCTCTCTGGTCCACTGTGGGGTCACTTTCCCACTTCTGATACCAGTGTGGTATTGGCGTAGCACAAGATGTGGAAAACAAAGCATTTCAAGCTCCCGCGCTCCCACGGTCATGAAGGCCTGTAGCGGGACACTACAATGTATTTATATATATGTGTGTGTCTGTGTGTGTGTCTGTGTGTGTGAGTGTGTGTGTGTGAGTGTGTTTATGAGTGAGCGTCCTGTCTGTCAGTTCTGCATATTTATGACAAGCTGATGGCAGAGAGAATGAAGCTGCTGTTTAATATTGATAACATTCATGAGTTGGGCATCGTGTGGGCGGAGTCCTGGCTGATTGACAGCACAAGCAGTGACATTGAGGTAATGGGGACATAAAATATCTGGGACTCACTAAAGACAGGAGCTCACTATTACACAGAGAGAGAGAGAGAGAGAGAGAGAGAGAGAGAGAGATAATGGGAGAAAGAGAGAGATACAGACACAGAGAGAGATGAGAAAGAGAGATAGTCATAAAAAGAGAGAGAGAGAGAGAGAGAGAGAGAGAGAAAGAGAGAGAAAGAGAGGGAGAGATCAGTGTTTTCTCTAATTACCTGCAGGCATGATTCAGTCAACTCCAAAAATAGAGTCTCACTGGTGAGAGAGAAAGAAAGACAAAAAGGGAGAAAGAACACAGAGTGGAGGAAAGAGGGAGGCAGTAGAGGAGAAACAGAGTGAGGACGAGTGAAAATAGAATAAGGGCTGAGAAACGAGTGAGAGAGATAATTCATCCTCACTGAGCTCCCCACCGACCAACCGGCTGCAGCTTCGTAGAGTAGCTGAGAGAGGAAGGTTCTATTTATTCCTCTTTTTCCTTGGATTCTATCCATCCCTCTTTAATCCTGCTCTCCTTTCGCTGACGGCTCTAATCTGTGGAGCTGACGTGGAGCTACTAAACCCCCCACCGTCTTCCAGCACCAACCAGACTCTGCTCTGCTTCCTTACACACCACCAGCACACCTGGAACACCTGCAGTGCAGTCGTTTCTAATAAAGTGGCCAGTTAGTGGAAGTAGAAGGTGGGTGTTTCTGATAAAGTGGCCAGTTAGTGGAAGTAGAAGGTGGGTGTTTCTGATAAAGTGGCCAGTCAGTGGAAGTAGACAGGTGAGTGTTTCTAATAAAGTGGCCAGTCAGTGGAAGTAGAAGGCGGTGTTTCTGATAAAGTGGCCAGTCAGTGGAAGTAGACGGTGGGTGTTTCTGATAAAGTGGCCAGGGCGTGTTGCATTTCCACTGCTGTTTGTACTGTAGTGTTCTGTTCGTGTTCTATTAAAATGTTCTGCATCACAGTGAATCTGCAGTGTTCTAGTGTTTCCAGAGCGCTCTGCCCAAAAGGCGGTTGTCATGGTTACCGTCTGGGTCGCAGACTGGCAGCTGTCAATCGCTCACAGTGCGTCCGTTGCTGCTCTCTGACGGACCCTCTTCTCTCAGCCATGTGTGTTTGTGAGAGTGTGTGTGTGTTTGTGTGTGTGTGTGTGTGTGTGTGTGTGACAGCCCTGGCTCTCTCTCCCGCTGGCGTTGCCATGGTGACGGCCGTGTGTGCAGTGTGCTGGCATGCCGTGGTTGGTTAGGAGAGCTGCTGAAGTAGAGCATGAAACACACACACACACACCCTGCTAACGCTCTCTGTAGCCGCACACACACACACTCGGGCCCGACTGATAACCTGTATTATCAGCTGATATATATATTCATATTAATGTAAGGTCTGTCAAACAAATCAGATAATTAATCACATTTAATCATATTAATGTATTCCTGCGTCTGTTCAGCTGCGTATTGGGATCCACTCCGGCTCGGTGCTGGCGGGAGTCGTCGGGGTGAAGATGCCGCGTTACTGCCTCTTTGGAAACAACGTCACACTGGCCAGCAAGTTCGAGTCCGGCAGCAAACCGCGCTGCATTAACGTCAGCCCAACCACTTACCAGTGAGTTCACATACCTGAGTTCTCAGACTCACACCTCAGAGACTCGACTCAGACTCACACCTCAGAGACTCGACCCAGACTCGCACCTCAGAGACTCGACCCAGACTCGCACCTCAGAGACTCGACTCGGACTCGCACATCAGAGACTCGATTCTCGACTCGGACTCACACCTCAGACTCGACTCAGACTCGCACCTCAGAGACTCGACTCGGACTTGAACCTTAGAAACTCGACTTACACTCGCATCTCAGAAACTTGGGTTCTTGACCTGGACTCGCACCTTTGAGACTCGACTCGTACTCGCACCTCAGAAACTTAAGTCTCGACTCGGACTCACACCTCAGAGACTCGACTCGGACTCACACCTCAGAGACTTGACACTTGACTCTCTCTCTCTCTCTCTCTCTGTCTCTTTCTCTGTCTCTCTCTCTCTCTCTCTCTCTCTCTCTCTCCTCCAGACTCCTCCGTGATGACCGCTCCTTCTCTTTCGTTCCGCGTTCCCGTCAGGACCTTCCTGACAACTTTCCCAAAGAGATCCCAGGAATCTGCTACTTCCTGGAGGCGGGCAGGTCCCAAAGCCACGCCCCTCTGACCAGCACTCGCTCCGCCCCCATTCGGAAGGTGTCCTACAACATTGGGACCATGTTTCTACGCGAGACCAGCCTCTGAGTTAAACCCCGCCCACCTGCTACTAAACCACGCCTTGCAGGCTAGCGTTGCCCTAGGCAACCAGTCGCTCCGCCTCTCGGACACAGCGCTCCGCCCCCAGGGGTGAACAGATGAGATGAGAACTCGAGGAGGAGACATGAATATTCACGAATATTCAAATTTTACTTTAAAAAGACTTGGAAATTTAAATATATATATTTGAATAAATATATATATATATATATATATATATGATATATATTTGCATAAAGCCTTCTGCTCCACAACATACGCCACACACAGATATACCATAATAACAATAACATAAACACTAGACACACGAGTATAACGTACAGCAGCGCCAAGATATGCTACACACACACACACACACACAAACACACACACACACACACACACACACACACACACAGATATATACCATAACGATAAAACTTCCTGTGTATCTTTGCGTTTCATGTGGCGTCGCACTGAATAAGCGTTGCCAAATGTGCTAAGCTGACGAGACGCCTGTCTGTTTGCTGCACTGTTGGCTGCAGTAGCCGTAAAGAAAGTGAGGGATTAGCGATGGAGTCAGCAGGTCACAGGAATCAGTGGCAGCTTCATCTTTTTACTGATATTCAACATTCCCAGGAGCGCCGAACGGTGAACTCGCACTAGGTGGTCCGCACACCCCCCCCCCGCTGATCACGCTAGACCCCCGAAGTCCAGTTAGTGTGATCTCTCTGTCCCGGGTCCATTTAAAGCGATGGGCTCGGGCATGGTTCAGCTGGACTCGGGCACGGTACGCATTGTGAAAGGGTTCTTCAGAATGATGAAGACTGTGCTGTGGATGGTTCTGTGCATCACCAAAAATCAGCCAGAGTAGAAGAACCCATTTTGGTACTATATAGAACACCTTTTCAAAAAGGATTATCCACTAGGGGTTCCACAGAGTAGTACTGCTCGGCGATGACACTTTAATCTTGATGTTGACGAGACTCTGATCACGTGATTATCACAATAACAACATGGACATCCCAGAGGTGAGGAGGCTGGTGATTTCAGAGTCCAGTTTGAAGCCAGTTACTCTTATTTTCTCCGAGTTACGGCGCTTTAAATCTCTCTGGCTCTCCGGACCTCCATCACGGGAGAGCGCCTCGGCAAGGCCACCTAGGGTGCGCCTAAGTAGGATACACATTTATGAGATTCCAGGGTCCCTGAAGGCCAGCAATGCGATCCAGGTCTCGTTGGAAAGGACACGTCACGCTCTACTGACCTGTGGAGTTTCCAAGCGTTCGCTTCTGCTGTGTTTCCATTCATGATGTCATCAGTGATTGGTTGATGTCGACTCGACTTTACATGACTGTCGACTTTAAAACCTCTGAAATTGTGCCCTTATTATCCACTAACGTTTCTCTTTAAAGCAATGTGTTCTAGTTTGAATCTTTCTTCACATCTAGTTCTGTTCACATCATTCCAGAAATTCTGTCCCAAACATGGCGGAGACAACGGAAAAGATCGCACAACTGAAACGCAACGATACACAAACGCACACATTCACACAGTACTGCGTTAGAGTTAGAGACCCCCACACATCTGTTTAACTTCCAGTCAAAACAGTCACTCAGTATAAGATGTTTGTGAGGAGATCCGATATAAGATAATCCACCTGTACAATGAAGGAGAAAGACAAACAGGAGTTTCCAAAAACTGGAGTTTAAAATCTGATTAAAGCTCCAGAAAAATGTGTCTCCTAGCAACCACCTGGAAGAGCTGTTAGACCCCAAAACTGCCCCCATCAGATAAACAGCACTTAAAGCTTTCATCTTTGAGAGAGAGGAGAAAATCAAGCTGCTTCAGATCTGAAAACATCCACAGGTGTTTCTGTCCATCCTTCCACTGTGAGAAGGCGACTCAGCGCTGTGGGTCTGAAAGGATGTGTAGCTGTTCAAGAAGAACCTCACTGAGAAAAGGAGACGGACACATCAAACAAAGAAGCTGAACGATGGACTGACCACCCCAGAGTCCAGACCTCAACACCACTGAATGTGTTTGATTACTTCAGAAAACGATCAACCAGCTTCTAAGACTGAACTTTGGAGGTGTGTCTGCAGATTCTTTGAGGAGCTGAAAGTGAGGCTCCTGAAAAGAATGGAAGCTGGAATGAAGGGAAAGAGTGACTCACTGAACACTCACACAGCTGAGAGTAGATTCAGCTGCTGAGGATTCTGGGTAATTTTTAGTTTTGCTGATGTTGGAAAATGAATAATGTACTTTATGGCTGTTTTGACTTCAAATTAAATAAATGAAGGGTCTCTGACTTTCACACAGCGTTATACATAAACCACACACACACACACACACACACACACACACACACACACACACATCACACACACACACACCACACACACACACACTCAGCTGTCAGCACTGTAGGACAGACAGGATTCACATACAGAACCTGGTGCCTTCTAATAAATACACAGTGTAATTCACCCCCCCCCGACCCCAAACCCCCCCCATCATCAGTAGAGGTCAGAGGTCAGTACTCAGTGTGTATATGAGGGTCACACTGCTGAGGTCACTAACATTGTGTGTCTTTAACTCTCATGTTTTGTTGTTATTGTCTTGTGTTTGTGCTGAGCTCCTAAAGGGACCCATGCAAAAAAAAAATTTTAGTTGAGCGCCAGAAACTTTCTTGTGCACATGAGAAACTTTCCTGTGCTCACCAGATAAATTTCACAAGAGTGTGTGCTCCAGACCCCCTGCAGAGGATTCTGAGCCACATTACAGCCCATAAACTGCTCTGAATGGGACGTAGCTGCAGGACATACAGTGATGCAGTGACGCAGTGCTCGTCCACACCGTCCATCAGATACTCTCAGATACTATCACACTTTCTGGTTTTGTCCTCATGTCCATCATTTCCTGTCAGAGGTCGTGAGAAGGTTCTCTGAGACTGGGGGCTTCAGCAGCACCATTTGCTCCTCTGAAGAGCTACTTCAGGACGTCTCATCACCCAAACATTCAAACTCTTTATGAACATCACTCACCATAGTGATTATCATAATAACTAATAATTAACCTGCTGAAATCTCTAGTGAGCACGGAAATAGTTTCTGGTGAAAATGCGAAATTGTTTGCAATTTTTTTTGGTTGACAAGCAAATTTTTTGGCAAAACTTTTTAGTGAACATGCAAAACATATTGGTGAGCACAAGACAGTCGCTGGTGAGTTCATAAAAGTTTCTGGTGAAGATGTACATTTTTTGGTGAGCATATGAAAATTCTTAGTCAACGTGAAAATTTTGGCTAAAAATGAAAATTTCTTGAGAGCACAAGAAAGTATCTGGTGAATATATCAAAGTTTCTGGTGAGTATGTGAAAGTTTCCGGTGAGCTTGTGAAAATTTATGGGTGAGCACATGAAAATTCCTGTTGAACACATTAGTAACGTTAGAGTTTCTGGTGATCATGTGAAAGTTTCTGGTGAACTTGAGAAAATTTTGGAGTGGGCATGTGAAAGTTTCTGGTGAAAATGTGAAAGGTTCTGGTGAACACAGAGAACGTGAAAATTTCTGGTGAACAGATGGTGAGGACAGGAAGTTTCTGGTGAGCACATGAAAAGTTCTGGTGAGAAATTTCGGGTGAGCTTGCATAAGTTTCTGGTGAACATGTGAAAATTTCTGGTGAACAACTTCTAGTAACCACACAATCATCTTGAAAGTTAGTTTAGTTTCTCATGAGCGTCACAGTTTCTTGTGCATCTGTGAAAATGTTTAGAAAATGAAAATGAGAGGAGTATCTGGTGCTCACTTGAAACTTCAGAATTTAATTTTTTATGCAAATTGTCCATTGAGGAGCTCACCGAGTGTGTGTGACTGTATATGTATGTGTGTATGTATGTGTGTGTGAGTGCGTGAATGTGTGTGTATGTATGTGTATTTCTGCTGTGATCTCGTTGAGATTGAACTGTCAGTCATCACCATCTGTCCAGTCGCAGCGAAACTCGACCTGCCAGTCAAACCCAGCCGTCCAATCACACTCAACCCACTGGTGTCAATCAGCCGTGTTCTTCCAATCACACTCAATCAAGAGCCGTCAGTCAAACCTGTCCCTCCAGTCTCGCCAAAACAGCAGCTGTCAGTCAATTTACACAATGCCAATAAAACTGAGCGTTCGCTTACTGACCGCTGAGCTCCTCCGGGGGCCGCCTCCTGTCTTTACTGACCTCATCATCGTCATTATTTATTAATATCACATTTATGTGTGTGTGTGTGTGTGTATGTTTATGTACTTGTTTTTGTATACTTTTAGCTCAGTAATGTTCTGACTTTACTAAACAGCACTAACCTACAGCACAGACAACATATATAAGGGAATTTATCTAATACATATATAATAACATATACATGGGACATTTTATGACATATAGACACTTACATAAGAAACATATGGGACGTGTTTTTATGACATCTAGATACTTAAACGTACATATATGTAGAACACCATTGCTGTCCGAAGAATTGCAGCTTTACCGCAAAAACGTTCTATACTGTTAATGTAAATTAATGTAAAACGTTTTTATTCCAAGCCATTCTGGAATATTTATTTTGGTCCATTCATCATTTTCACACGACATTAAGGCAGCTGCTGTGTTCAGATGATGTAGAAAAATGGAAATGGGAAAAAAATGGATATACTTGATTTTCTTTTGGACAGCGATGGTATATATGGGACACACATGATTCTGGGTATATAAACAGTGTATCTGAGTAACACAGAGAGAGAGAGACTTTGTGTTTAGTCTGACTGCCCTGATTGTCTCTGTTGTTTATATACTTTGCAGGTTCAATAAAAACAAACAAACAAAATCATCTTTAAACAAAGATCACTGATCCCGTCTAAACAGTTAACACAGCTGTCAGAACCGACAGACATTAAAACACAGGATCGCTGAGCTGTAGATCAGGATCTGAGCTGTAGATCAGGATCTGAGCTGTAGATCAGGTCTCCACCTGTAGGTCTAATGATGCTGTTGATAATGAAATGCCAACAAGACGACAGCACAGCAGGAGAAACACATACTGTAGTGGTGAATGATTAGGTTCAGCGAGTCCCGCCTTTATCACTGACCCACCCACCTTCATCACTGACCCACCCACCTTTATCACTGACCCCACTACCTTCATCACTGACCCACTCATTTTTATCATAGGCCCACCACCCAGGCGTCGCCTGAACTCCCTCTAAAGCTGCTTTGTGTTTGTGTGATTTGCATATTTACATATATTTACGTATTTCCATTAGATTGATTAGACTGAGGTGAATTATGGGGACGTTACTGGAACAGAAAGCAGAGGTCATATTTCTTGGGGGGGGGGTGAGTATGTGTGCATGTGTGTTTATGTACTGTTATGCACATTCATGCTTTCTGTATGCAAGTGGGCGTGGCTTGTGACAGGTTATAGCTGACCATATACAGGTTTATAAACACAGGGACATGAATATATAATTGACATGACAATGTGTGCGCGTGTGTGTGTGTGTGTGTGAGACCAGGGGTGTATTACTGATCAGGTCAGCTGGGACTCTGACCACTAGGGGTCTTAGGGGTCCTGAGGGGCTCAAAGACTGAAGATAACACTTGAATATGTAATGACTAAATACATATTTTTCAGTTAAATACAATAAATTAAATTAAAATTTTAAAAAGCGCTCAACACCATGTAATCTATTACACCATTACTTAGGAATTCATATTTTTGTTTGGTTTAATTAAAGATTAGGCCATTTTTCAGCTTTGTTTTTTGTGTGTCAGAGTACGTGGGGGCGGGGCTGTGAAGGTGAGATATGGGCGTGTCCTCTATGGATGAGATATTGATGATCACACAAGCTGAGGACACGCCCCCTTTTACAGACAATACTGATTAACATGGAAGAAAAGCTGCAGAACCAACACTGATCCTAATTAAATAATAGAGAGAGAGAAGAGAGAGAGAGAGAGACAGTGACTGTGTGTTCTTGAACACTGTGCTGATCTAGAACAGTAGCTACTGATGTGGTCTTGAATGACTGTTCTAGAGAACAGTGTCTCCATGAATGAGAGCCTCTGTGTTCTTACAGGCCAGAGCTGTTCTTGGAATGCTGCGCTGTTCCAGAACAGAGAAAGTCCCATTTAAAAATATCATGGAGTGACCTTCTCTGTGTTCTCGCAACACTTTGTGGTTCTAGAATAGCATTAACCCTGTGTTTTTAGTCTCAGCATGCTGTGCTGTTCTAGATCACTATCTCTGTGTTATCAAAGCACTGTGCTGTTCTAGAACACAAGTGTTTTTATAGTGTTCTAAATCAGCTAGTATCTGTGTTGTTCTAGAATACGGAATATTGTTTTAGAACAGTAACAGTCTCTATTTTATTAGAACACTGCTGATCTAGAACAGCAAGTATCTCTGTGCTCTTAGAATACTGTATGACTCTAGAACTGCCTCTGTTCGTAGAATGAAGTGCTGGTTTAGAACAGTAACGGTCTGTGTTTAGAACACCATGCTGTTCTAGAAGCGTGACTATCTCAGCATTCTCAGAACAGCATGGTTCTAGAAGAGCCTGGTGCTCTAGAACAATGTCTATAAATATTCTAACAGCGTTCTGTTCTACTGCGGTTCTAGAGAAGTGACTACCTCCCTGTTCTCTTCCCGTCCCATCCCATAATATCATTACTGAGGTAATCTGCTCATCACTCATTCATTACGACCTCATCATGCTCGGCCAATCGGATTAGGCCGCATAATTAGAGATGCAGCTGATAGTGGGGGCTGAGCGCTTCGAAGAGTCCGTGCTCTGCTTCTAAATCTCTGCACAGGATTCATCTTTTTACTGCAGTAATTCTAGATCATCGGTCTGGACCTGGATTATGAATTTAAGATTAGATGATGGACTTTAATCTGTGGATTTCAGGATCTGACCAAGAGAAACAGTGAAAGAACACAGTCACATTAATGACATAACAATGAAGATCAGAGCAACTGCTGGACGTCATCCAAAACACCTCCAGAAAACCCCAAACATTTCCAGAACATCCCAAAACACTAGCTCAAAAACCAAATGCTTCCAGAAACACCGACAAAACCTCTCCAATAACCCAAATACCCTCATAAATACCGGCAAAACACCCCCAGAAAAACAGGCATGTCCCAAAAAACAAACTACCACCAAACAACAAGGCAGCTCCAAAAAAACCGAAACAACTCCTAGAAATAAAGACCAAAAAAACACCACAGAAAATCCTTAAAACAAAAATACCTTCAGACACACCACCACAAACCCAAACACTGAAAAAACACCTGAAACAACTCCAAAGAAATATAAAACATCTCCAAAACACCTTTAAATAACATCACAAAACACCCCACACAAACCCAAACACCTTCAAAAAACATCACAAAACACCCCCCACACACCCAAACACCTTCAAAAAACATCACAAAACACCCCACACACACCCAAACACCTTGAAACAACACAAAACACCCAAAAACACCAAAACACCCCCACAAACACCTTGAAACAACACAAAACAAACCCAAAACACCTTTAAACAACACCATAAAACACCCCCACAAACCCAAACACCTTCAAAGCACCACAGAACACCCAAACACCTTCAAAACACCACAAACACCCCACAAAAAACCAAAACACATTCGAAAAACACCACAAAACACACCTACAAACCCAAACACCTTCAAAAATGCCCCAGAAATCTAAACATCTCTAGAAAAAGAGCCACAAACCACCCAACATCCCTAAAAATCTCTCTCTCTCTGATTCCGCCAGTGAACTGAAGGAGAAACAGAGCAGTATTAAAAGTCAGGAGAGGAAACACTCCAGCACCAGTGCACAGTCAGAGTGTGTGTGTGTGGTGGAGGGGGTGATGGGTGAGCTGGGGTGCTGTTTGATCTTGCTGCTCCGGTCACGCTTATTTAATCAGCTCAGCTCCATTCGTTAATTAATTAGCTTAATTGCTCTACAGATCTCGTTGAGGCAGACGGTGACCATGTTCATCTACTGACCATTTGAAAGTGGACAGTGTACCTGTTCACACCTGTGGGTCTCTACTGGACACTTATGATCAGATTCTGTGACTGTAAGGAAGGTCCCGCCCACATTTAGAGTGTCTTCTCACCGCAGAGGGCGCCAGAGAGTCCTCAGTGAAATGGCTAAAACCCAATCACGTTTCTATTTATGTGGAATTTGTTACATTATTAGACACTATAGACACTATTAGACACTCCTACCTTGTCGGTCCACTTTGTAGATGTAAAGTCAGAGACGATAGCTCATCTGCTGCTGCACAGTTTGTGTTGGTCATCCTCTAGTCCTTCATCAGTGGTCACAGGACGCTGCCCACAGGACACTGTTGTCTGGATGTTTTTGGTTGGTGGACAATTCTCAGTCCAGCAGTGACACTGAGGTGTTTAAAAACTCCAGCAGCACTGCTTGTCTGATCCACTCAGACCAGCGCAACACACACTAACACACCACCACCATGTCAGTGTTACTGCAGTGCTGAGAATGATCCCACCACCCAAATAGTACCTGCTCTGTGGGGGTCCATGGGGGTCCTGACCACTGAAGAACAGGGAACATATGTAAGGGTTCATGGATATCTATTGGGGTTTAGTGGTATGGTCCAGATTTACCACGTTGCGGTGAGCGGAGACAGTGAGGTGGTGAGGGTGCTGTACGTTGCGGCTGAGTGCCGGTGAGTCAGACTGATGAAACACAGACACACGAGTGATGCAACTCATTTTAATAACTCACCCAAAATACACACAGTGTTTTTACATTCTGAGCACAGGCCTGTCCGTCACTACGGCAACAGGGACCCTGTTCACAACTGGGTTGTCTACGTCTGCCGGCCCGCTTGCTGATGGAGACTGACGCCTGTTCCCGTCTGAGGGACACGTACAGTAGCAGACGAGACCGAGAGCATTTATTTATTGAACCTGGTATTATTATGTTTTATTATTAAAGCCCATATCCTGAAATTTTCTCGTACCTTATTTGTGGATTCATGTACCAAAAAGCATCATAATTAATTTCTACTTGACCGGGCTACACTGCTGTAGACTGAATGGGTGGAGCTAAACTGCTGTAGACTGAATGGGTGGAGCTAAACTGCTGTAGCTGAATGGTGGAGCTAAATTGCTGTAGACTGAATGGTGGAGCTAAACTGCTGTAGCTGAATGGTGGAGCTAAACTGCTGTAGCTGAATGGTGGGGCTAAACTGCTGTAGCTGAATGGTGGAGCTAAACTGCTGTAGCTGAATGGTGGTGGAGCTGAATGGTGGAGCTAAACTGCTGTAGACTGAATGGTGGAGCTAAACTGCTGTAGACTGAATGGTGGAGCTAAACTGCTGTAGCTGAATGGTGGAGCTAAACTGCTGTAGCTGAATGGTGGAGCTAAACTGCTGTAGCTGAATGGTGGGGCTAAACTGCTGTAGGCTGAGTGGGCGGGGCTAAACTGCTGTAAGCTGAATAGGTGGACAGATGTAAGAGTGAACTGAAAGCAGGCTGTTGTAGTTCCGTATACAGACTGTATGGACGGGGTAGTGAAGACAAACACTTCCATACATTTCCATACATTATCAAACTGGTTATTAGACGGTGAGGGAAGCTCAGATTTCTGTGCTATGGGCCTTTAAAAAGCGCGGTGTGGTCAGCTGTATTTGAGCCCGTGCAGGACTCAGAGTGTGAACGAAGCAGAGTGATTCAGGAGGGGCTCTGTTTACCTGATGCTGACCTTAGAGTGAGTGAGTGAGTGAGTGAGTGAGAGAGCGAGCGAGAGAGTGTAATTAGGTTAGTGTAATTCAGTAATGTCCATACAGGCGGGTCATTTCCTGCTGTACACTCTGACTGACCGCTTAAAGACCACAGCTAACAAACTGCACTGTTAACGAGGTGTGATTCCTCCACAGACCCCACTATCAATCAATGAACAATAACATCTCTCCCTATGTGTCTCTCTACCCCTCTCTCTCTCTCTCTCTCTATATACATATATACATCACTATCACTTAGAATTAATATTCAAATAAACTGAACATATTTCTATTAGAGTGAAGCAGAGGGGAGAGAAAGGAGAGTGAGGGAGAGAGGAAGAAAGGAGAAAAAGAGAGGACATAGAGAGAAAGGGGAGAGAGAGAAAAGACAATTAGTGTGAGAGAAAAAAGAAAGAAAAAAGAGAGAACGGGGAGAGGAGAAAGAAGAGAGGAAAGAAAAGAGTGAGTGTGAGAATGAAAGAAGAGAGAGGAAAGAAAAGAGAATGAGCGTGAGAAAGAAAGGAGAGAGGAGAAAGAAAAGAAAGAAGATGAGGGTGACAGAGAAAGAAGAGAGAAAGAATAGGGGATAAAGAAGAGAGTAAAAGACAGACAAAGGAGAGAAAGAAAGAAAGGAGAGAAGAAGAAAGAAAAGAGTGTGAGAAAGAAAGAAGAGAGATGAAAGAGAATGAGCGTGAGAAAGAGAGAAGAGAGAAAGGAGAGAAGAAAGAAGAGAGAATGAAGGTGACAGAGAAAGAAGAGAGAACGAAAAGAAGAAAGAAGAGAGTAAAAGACAGACAAAGGAGAGAAAGAAAGAAAGGAGAGAGGGAGAGAGAGAGAGAGAGAGAGAGAGAGAGAGAGAGAGAGATGCTTGGTTAAAGCAGTGGTGTCCTAACGGCGCTAAACATCCACAGATATAAATAGACTACAGCAGATGGAGCAGAAGAAAAGCAGAGAGAGAGGGGGAGAGGGGGAGAGAGAGAGAGAGAGAGAGAGAGAGAGAGAGAGAGAGAGAGAGAGAGAGAGAGCTCACCATGCAGTTCTCTTATATATTAAATTTCATTTACTGTATCATTAATTGATTGTAAGTCTTTACAGTATTAAATATGAATCTAAGGCGGCGCTTTATTAATCTGAGCTCAGTGCAGTTCGACTCCCTCATAACTCACACACAGATCCAATCCACTGTTCTCACTACATTACCCAGCATGCACTACACAAATACAGCACACAGCAGATGGGAATCGCATGGTGATACCCAGAGTGATGGTCAGGTCTGTGGACCAGACAGTCCAGTCTCTGTAGAAGAGGACAGGGCTGTATGGTGATCTATAAAGTGACAGTCAGGTCTGTGGATCAGACAGTCCGGTCTCTGTAGAAGAGGACAGGGCCGTATCCTGATCTATAAAGTGACGGTCAGATCTGTGGATCAGACAGTCCGGTCTCTGTAGAAGAGGACAGGGCCGTATCCTGATCTATAAAGTGACGGTCAGATCTGTGGATCATACAGTCCGGTCTCTGTAGAAGAGGACAGGGCTGTGTGGTGATCTATAAAGTGACGGTCAGGTCTGTGGACCAGACAGTCCAGTTTCCAAGTATCCCTTATCCTCTAGGGTACTGTCATTACCCAATTTGAACCTGATTTGGACTATGCAGGCACAGGAACGCTGTAAAATGATGTCGGTAATGACATCGCTTTGCTACGCATGCATAGTCCAAATCAGGTTTCCGATTCAATTCAGGTAGCCACAGGTACATCGGTTGTACTTATCGGAGTGCATTGTGGGATTGTTTGAGTGTACTGGATCTACAGACACCACTGCAAAATGGTGCAACCTAAAATTGTGCATCGTATAGTGAACAGGCTCAGTTTCAGATCACGTTTCAGACCAGTCAGAGTTTATCTAACTTTTTTTTTTTTTTGACTGAGCGTAATCCAGTGGCATAAACTGGGTTAGCAATTCAATCAGAACAGACTCCTCCAACAATGAAAACTGAGGGCACGAAAGAAGAAAATACAGCAAGCAAACAAAGACAAATGGTGAAAAGGCTCTCACGTGTGGAGAGAAGCTTTTTAATGAGCTGAGTTTAAGGTAAAATCGAGTTTATTTACATCTAAAACTCTCAAAATACCAAACTGATCACATTTTTAAATCCATCCTCACGGATCCTCACTTAAACACGTTTACCTACAGCAGCTCCAGGTTTGTTTGCGTCTCCTACTAACATGAGTTCATCTGAGCTCTGTTTGGTTCAGCAACAATTTTAAAGCCGTTCAGCGTGTGACCTCCAATATTTCAATACCCAAAAACCTGGAGAAACCAGCTGGATAATGTGAGGTGACCAGTCTGTTTATGATCTGTTAGGACTTTAAAAGTCGTGAAGTGAACCCAAGGCTTGAGCAGCTCACTGCTGGTGGAGTACACTGGAAGGCAAGACATTTTAAACTGCTCGCCCTCAAAAATCCATCCCAAAGTTCTTACAGTTCCTCAACAGTTCATCCCACCTTCGAATTACATAATCAGAAGGGGGATTTCCTTTAAACCAGAAAATCAGAAGATGTGTAAATCTTAAGCTTCATTACATTTGGCTCCTTTAACAGCGTGACACAGTTTGTTGGCGAGTGTGTGATGTCACTCAGTTAGCCCCGTGCTAATCGGCTATAAGCTTGTTAGCGCCAGTGGTAAAACCGAATTTCAGGCACAGTCTTGGTTGTGGGGAAACTGGGGAGGATTTGGCCAAACTATCTTTAAATCAGACTCCAAGCGTAGCTGTGTGACTCTCCGGTGACCCTGCTGGTGCGGAGGGGTCACTGTGTTTCACTTTGACGGACAGGCGCTTCCTGCTTGCTCTGAAAGCTCTCCCAGTAGGCGGGGTCTTCGTCTGTAAGGGGCGTTGCTCCTGAGACCAGCTCACTGAAACTTAGCAGGGTGAATGTAGGGGGCGTCGCCTCGGCATCCTGTGTGAACAGAGAGAAGTTTGTTTGTTGTGAAGTTTGAAAGACTCCCGTGTGAACTGAGCGTAGTTTGTTGTATTAAAGAGTCTGAAATAATAAACTGCCTTTTTGAACATTAACCGCATCAGCTGGACTCACGTTAGAGGAGGAACCCTCTGGCTTTCCCAGGGCCACAGCAACGTGATGATGCTTATCCAGTAAACACTCCTGCAGAGAGGAGAAAAACAGAAAGCGTTAAAGAAGCACGTCAGCGGACTTTTCACAACATCCTCACTCACCATCATCACCATTATCATATAACAATAACAGAAAATGATAAGCATTGTAATACATCATGGAGAGGCTGGTCCTGTGATCTTCACATGTTTAATGAATATACGTAATCACATATACAGTAGGGTAACTTCTGGGGAAAAAGCCTTACTTTAAATCTAGCGCACTACATAGTGAAGTCTGGTTGCAGACACAGCCAAAGTAGTGCACTACATACAGAGAATGGCACATAAGTCTGGACAGAGGTCAAATTAGTGCACTACACAGTGAACAGGGCATCAGTTAGGACATAAAATAATGCACTATATGGTGAACAGGCCACAGATTCACACTTAGATCAAAGAGTGAACTATATGGTGAACAGGCCACATATTCACACTTAGATCAAAGAGTGAACTATATGGTGAACAGGCCACAGATTCACACTTAGATCAAAGAGTGAACTATATGGTGAACAGGCCACAGATTCACACTTAGATCAAAGAGTGAACTATATGGTGAACAGGCCACAGATTCACACTTAGATCAAAGAGTGAACTATATGGTGAACAGGCCACAGATTCACACTTAGATCAAAGAGTGAACTATATGGTGAACAGGCCACAGATTCACACTTAGATCAAAAGAGTGAACTATATGGTGAACAGGCCACATATTCACACTTAGATCAAAGAGTGAACTATATGGTGAACAGGCCACATATTCACACTTAGATCAAAGAGTAAACTATATGGTGAACAGGCCACAGATTCACACTTAGATCAAAGAGTGAACTATATGGTGAACAGGCCACAGATTCACACTTAGATCAAAGAGTGAACTATATGGTGAACATGCCACAGATTCACACTTAGGTCAAAGAGTGAACTATATGGTGAACAGGCCACAGATTCACACTTAGATCAAAGAGTGAACTATATGGTGAACAGGCCACAGATTCACACTTAGATCAAAGAGTGAACTATATGGTGAACAGGCCACAGATTCACACTTAGGTCAAAGAGTGAACTATGTGGTGAACAGGCCACATATTCACACTTAGATCAAAGAGTGAACTATATGGTGAACATGCCACAGATTCACACTTAGGTCAAAGAGTGAACTATATGGTGAACAGGCCACAGATTCACACTTAGATCAAAGAGTGAACTATATGGTGAACAGGCCACAGATTCACACTTAGATCAAAGAGTGAACTATATGGTGAACAGGCCACAGATTCACACTTAGGTCAAAGAGTGAACTATATGGTGAACAGGCCACAGATTCACACTTAGGTCAAAGAGTGAACTATATGGTGAACAGGCCACATATTCACACTTAGATCAAAGAGTGAACTATATGGTGAACATGCCACAGATTCACACTTAGGTCAAAGAGTGAACTATATGGTAAACAGGCCACAGATTCACACTTAGATCAAAGAGTGAACTATATGGTGAACAGGCCACAGATTCACACTTAGATCAAAGAGTGAACTATATGGTGAACAGGCCACAGATTCACACTTAGGTCAAAGAGTGAACTATATGGTGAACAGGCCACATATTCACACTTAGATCAAAGAGTGAACTATATGGTGAACATGCCACAGATTCACACTTAGGTCAAAGAGTGAACTATATGGTGAACAGGCCACAGATTCACACTTAGATCAAAGAGTGAACTATATGGTGAACAGGCCACAGATTCACACTTAGGTCAAAGAGTGAACTATATGGTGAACAGGCCACAGATTCACACTTAGGTCAAAGAGTGAACTATATGGTGAACAGGCCACAGATTCACACTTAGGTCAAAGAGTGAACTATATGGTGAACAGGCCACAGATTCACACAGTGAACTATATGGTGAACAGGCCACAGATTCACATGTCGCATGTTCAAAACGAAGGAGGATTCTTCATTAGACAGATCTGGGAGATGATCAGATGGTGTTTGTCCTGTGTCCTGTAGAGAGCACTGTGCTGTTCTCAGTGAGTGGACGTTTGTCTTAGGGTGGATTTAGGGGACATGGCCTCCCTCAGAGACAGCTGGGAACACACAGCAGGACAACGTACAGTACAGCGTACAAACACCAGCGTGGTTTCTATTATTTCCCTTTTAATACTCTTCTTCATTAAGGAGCGAGTGAGGGACGTTCACACGACCGAGAGAGACAGACACACACTGCTCCACACACACGCTCACGATTTCATACAACACCAGGACGTCACCTTGTTACATATAATAACAATACATATATAATATTATGCCTAATGTGTTTTATATAACAATAATAAGACAAAGATCAGTGAACAGAGCATGGTTACAGGTATAGATCAAAACAGTGCACTACAGTGAACAGAGCATGGTTACAGGAATAGATCAAAATAGTGCACTACACAGTAAACAGGGCGTGGTTACAAGTATATATCAAAATAATGCACTATATAGTGAACATTATATATATATATATGTAATAATATGCCTTATTGTTGCTGTCGATGGTAACTTTAAAGAACATGTAATTTAATTTAATGTGAAATATTTTTTAGGTAAATTTGGAGCATTCCTATTGGTCCGTTCATCATGGAATTTTAAGTATGAAATGTAATGTGTGTTCAAATTGTGCAGAAAAATACATGTTTTGGACAGCGACAATATGTAAGTAGCTATATGTAATAATTTGTTCCACATGTGTTTCATATATATGTACTTGTATGCACATATATATATATAGGCAGTTGTGTAGATCAGGACTGACTTTACTCTGGATTTGTTACATTACTGAACTGAAACTATACTAAAACAAGTACACACACACACACACACACACACACACACACACAGAGACTGACAGGGTCTTTAAACTGAGTGTGAGACAGAGCAGACGCTGTCACGGTGGGGGGTTGGGGTTCAGAGGGGTCTGGGAAACTGTAAGAATGTCGTGTGAATAGTGGACTCTCTGACCTCGTGACCTTGAAGATAACATGACATTCTCTACCTCTTTTTTCTCTCATCCATCAGCCTCTCTGACTCCCTCTATCTCTACTCATCCATCTCCTTTTATCTCTCTCTCTCTCTCTCTCAGCCGTGCAGTGATTCACTCAGTTCAGAATTCTGTTCAGTGCTGATTTAATGCTGATATGTTAGTATGTTAACGTTAATATGTAAAGGTAAACGTGTTGATATTAATATATTAACTGTAGAAGTGTGATATTAGAGACTTTAGAACGGCACAGTGGAGTTTAGCCTGATCGGTCAGACTGGTCTCTACAAACATTAAATAATAAACAATGTGTATTCAGGTCAAATGAATCAATTTCTTGAAGATTCATGCCATTTCAAACTGAATCATGGTGAAATCTGGCTGCATCCAAAACCACAACTACTCATAACACACGATGAACGCATTACTAACGGCATTCTGTTATAACATATAACTCATTAGGAGGGCAGTGTGTGCAGTTTTGGACACAGCCAGTTCAGATTTCATGATAAACCGAATCATTTTTTAAAGATCATAACTGAATTGCACAAAACTGAATTGAATCACAGTAAAAGCCAAGAGTTCACTATGAACGGAATCATTTTTCTGAAGAATCATAATTGAACTTATCTGTACTGAACTGAATTATAGTACTAGCTGAGATTACTGAATCGTTTTCTAAAGAATCAAACTTGATCAAGTGAATCAAACCGAAATGAATCACAGTAACAGCTGAGATTTCATAATGAACTGAATCATTTCCTAGAGAATCATGCCTGAATTGAAACGAACTGAACTGAATCAGAGTGCTGAGACTTCATTATGAACTGAATCATTTTCTAAAGAATCGTAATTAAATTGAACTGAACTGAATTGCATAAAAGTAACACCTAAGATTTCATGATGCACTGAATCGTTTTCAGAAGAGTCACAGTCAAAATGAATCAAACTGAATCACGGTGAAATGTGGCTGCATCCAAAACTACAGAACTGAGTGGAATTGAAATATGAGTGAAATCTGAAACTTCATGACGAACTGAACCGTTTCCTAATTTAAATCAAAATTTTGTGAGGTCACACAGATGCTCCTCACCTCAAACGTCCAGCTGTCCTCCTCCTCCTCGTCCAGGTGCATCCTGGTCTGGCAGTAGACCCGCCCCTCCTGCAGCTGATTGGGTGAGATGTGAAACTCCACCCTCTGGAGGTCGAAGCCCAGTCCTGAACCGATCGCCTTGATGAAGCTCTCTTTCAGGGCCTGTGATGGACAGAGGAATGGACCAATCAGCACGCACAGCTCAAGGATCAGTTTTACCAGAGGAGGTTCTGTAATATCGTTAGTTGTGATCTGATTGGCTGATTCAGGATAAAGTATCAGATTCAAACAAACAACAAAACTAACTCCCAGTTAATATCAGACAGAGCAGCTTTAAGCTGTTATCGTGGCGTTTGAGTGCGAACCCACACCAGCAGGAGCGCACTCATAAACGTCACTGACGCCGACTCTAATGCTTAAATTAATAATAAAATTTAGAATTACTTTACAATGACTGCACACTTGATGGTATTTCACAAATAATGTTGGAACATATGAATATTAACAACACTACAACTTTCTATATTCAGCCTTATTTTAAGTCTACTTTGAGTGTCAGTGATGTATTTTCCCCTGTGAATCTGTTTACTGTCTATACATATATGTATAAATTATATACTACATGTAAATATACTATCATAGTCCAAAAAAACAAAACAAAAAACGTGGAACTCCACCAATTTTTCAAAATTGCTCTGTTCTAGAGAAACTTACCAAGTCAGAATTCTTCACAGTGGTGGTGATAGGAACCAGACGTCCACCTCTAAAAGCTCCCTCACACGAAGTTACTAAATGAAATAGTTATGAATCCATTCATGGTGGAGGGATACATAACATGCAGGGAGCTGTGAGGCAAAATAGTCCCCAAAGAAAACTTATTATTTCAGATTTTCCACTATTTTCCATCATCAACATTCCATATAAACTCAGAAGACTCGTGTAGGTTCACTGGTGGTTCTGGATAGTAAATAAAATGTCTATATTTGTGTTGTAGTCATGGCGACCCCTGGTTCCTATCACCACCACTGTAAAGACATCTGAACCATTTCACACCAAACCACTCTGAATCACTCTGTTTACATCTCAACCACTGAATTATGGAGGAATTTTGAAAAATTGGTGGAATTCCCCTTCAAGTATAAAAATCACCTATACTGATACAGACAGGAAGTTAAAGACTCCTGGCTAATCATACTTTTGAACAGTGACAATAGTGTATATCAGTTAAAGCTGACCTCACAGACAGACCCCCGTCCCCCCGTCCTCCCCAAGACCTCCGCTACAATTCAGACCCTGGCTGCTGTTACCGAGGGAGCTCTGGGTTCAGCCAATCACAGAAGGCGACTGAGTAAAAGGGGTAATCGGTGGTCAGTAACCCCCCAGGTTAAAGCCCCTCCCCCCAACAACCCTAATCCAGCTCCAACAGAGCCTCACAGACCACAACACACACCACAGCATCACTGAGTCATGTGGAGAGTGATGATATTACGTTACCACGGCAACAACGATCAGCATGAGAACAATCAGCATGCCTCATCCCAGGATGACAAACACACAACACAGTTAAACAGCTCTGTGTGTGTGTGTGTGTGTGTGTGTGTGTGTGCACATTAAAGGGCCCATATCCCAGAAAACCGAATTTCCCAGGATGCCCCGGAAATCACTCACTTTCTTAGATGAAAGAGTTTGATGTATTATATAAACACTGTTACAGTTTCAAAGCACACCGGTCACTCCTTCATACATTAAGTCTATTTATGGAACTGAAAAACCAGCCTTCACTGTTTTTGTGATGTCACAAAGCCAGCACGTTTACATATACATCCACCTATGCAGCCAACAGCCCTTTGGCCCCACCCACTCATCTTGAATTTGTTGTGCACTTCAACTCTGCACCCTGGACTGCTTTTTGAATGGGGCACAGCCAACCAGAACAGAGCTGATTTACATATCCCAGTCTTAAAGGCACAGTAACAGAAACAGCCCGTTTAACTGTGAGGGATAAAGAGAGGATGGAAAATGGACCAATATGATTGATTTAGGTATATAAACCCAGTGAAGCTGAGTGGGGGTGTGACGGTGGGGGGGTCGGGAGGTGGGGTGTATAATAAAGGGTAAATGTGGGCTACGGGCCCTTTAACGGTCTGTCTGATCATATAAGCACATATGATGTGTGACGTTCCAGTGTGCGCGTCTGTGTGTGTGAGGAGATGCTGCTACACCGGGATGCGGTCGCCATGGTTACCCAGTGCCTGTAGAACATGTGCAGTTGGTCCCAGTCGGATCCGGCCGACCGTATCGTCCTCCACTCCAGCTCCGTGAACTGCCGGGTCATGATCCGGAAAAATTCCTGCACCGAGCTGCTTCCTGGCGGAACATACAGACCCAAAAATAAATATGTAAATAAATAAATAAAACAAAAACGCTCATCTCTGTATATATTATTTATTTATATTCTCTGATTCGCGTTCCAGTTAGACAGAGAAACTGCGGACCTACAGAGACACCTCGAGACCATCAGTGGACTTGCAGCTCACAATAATTTAAAGGGCTCATCACAGAATCAGATTGTTACATATTTTATTTTTTTTTTCCTTGAGATCTAGTGTTTGTGTGGCTGAATAGGTAGATATTAAGAAAGTGTAAATTATAAATATGTTAGTTTTTGTGACAAGTGGGCTGTTTTTACAGTTTAACTCATTTATGCATCGTTTAAATGACTACATCAAACTTTTACTCCAAAAAGTTAGGAAACTCTGTTTTTCCATCATATGGGCCTTATTAAATCTAGCCTTATGGCCACACGAGAGCTGATTTGTAGCAAAGTAGAAGAAAATACACATTTGATTGCGAATTACTGTACATAACTTGCATATAATAAAAAAAAATCAAACAGATACTATTAGACTTAATAAATCAATACAAGGCGTGTCAAACTGGGGACCTTCCAGGTCAAAGTGCTGCAGAGATCAGCGTTTAGCCTCATCTAACACCCTGAATTCAGTTCATGAAGGTCTTACTAATCAGCTGATGAGCTGAGTCAGGTGTGTTTAATGAGGCAGTGAGCTGAAGTCTGCAGAGTTTCGGCCCGCGAGGACTGGAGCCTGACACACGTGCTTTAGACCAATCAGAACAAGCTCTGTGATTTTTGTCTGGTTAGAAGATCATCTTTACTCCTGTGGAGTCTGTGCTGGAGTGGTGGCGCCCTCTGCTGGTTATCTAGCTCTCCAGCGGGTGGACGATCTTAAGCTCGTCCTGCACAACTCAGCACTCAAACTGACCTCCAACCAGGAGATTACGTCAACATGTACATAAACACTGACCGACTGCATGTTTCACTACAAGAGAGCAAAATTAGTCCTGTTTTACTGGATTTAGTGCAGCAGTGTGTGAAACGCTGAATACAGGCGCTGCATTCAGACATTCTGATATTTTCTCTGATGATCTCAGTGATCACAGAGTAGAATATTAAAAATGTCTGTATGATATCAAACTTCAGTGTTTTATTAAACATCCAGCAGAGCTTGAATGAAAAATATAAGATATAAATATGATAAAACGGCCTAAACACCGCTGATCAGCCCTGTCTGAGAACTGTGTGGGTGTGGCTAATGAGCAGCTTGATTGACAGCTCTCTGTCCAGCACTCCTAGCTCTGCTCCGCCCCTCATACAGAACTAACATCATCATCCAGCTTTTACGTGACGCTAACTGGACAAAAAAGTCACGGACGAATAAACACTGAGTGTGTTTACATGCACTCAGTAATCTCACAACTGCAGAAAATGAGATGTTGTCAGTAATCCGATCAGTGTGTTTATGTACACTTGAGTAATCAGATAATGGGGAAACTCCAGATCTACATGAGTCAGACAGTAATCAGATTTCTGCTTTATAACCAGCCAATAAACTCATATAAGAAGACGCGACGTAAACGTAACGTAAAACTCAAACGTTGCGAGCAGCTTTTTTTTTAACATCCTCCCGCTGTATCTGAAAATATGAACGTACATCATCTAGAAAATGAAGAATATTTAAATCCTTCATTTCGTCAAGCATGTATTTGGTTTTCTCCAAAAGTGTTTCGCTGCGTCTCGCGGCGACGCTGCTCACTTATTTCCGGTACTGCCGTCTGTTTTCACACATGCTCAGACTGAAAGATCCGAAAGAAATCAGAGTGAGAGTTTACAGCACTGAGAAATCTGATTACTGAGCTAAAATCCAGCCTCTTTATCCGGTTTCTTAATCAGATTTCTAGATCAGAATGTGCGGTTTACATGACCATTTGAGTAATCAGAACTGCCGAAATCAGATTATGGTCTGATTATTGAGTGCATGTAAACACACTCAGTGTTGGTATAGATAAGCGAGTGAACGGGCGACAGGCAGCTACAGGCAGGTGGTCTTGCTCACTAGCTTTTGGTTATGCTGGGTTAGCTTTAGCTTGCTAAGCTAAAGCTGTTCTGTGTGGGCGGGGCCAGAGATACAGCCTTGTGATTGGTCAGGAGAAGGCTTACGGAGGCGTTACCCAAGATTAAGATCGCCCAGTTTACGCTGAGAGGAGAGAAACAAGGTGAAACACAGCAGATGTTTATTAGACTTAGTGTAGTTATTTATAAGACAGTCTTGGTATTTTAATATTTTGAGCCCAGAGGAACAAAATGAACTCAGTTAGAAAGAAAACCTCCCGGGGTCCACATGACGATAGCAAAGTCTAAACGCTAATAGCTAATATATAACAATATGCTAATAGTTAACAATATACATACACACACACACACTTTCTAAGCTGCTTATATTCTTGCCGTACAGCCCTGCACTGCCTCCACCTCTGACCTTTACCTGGTCTGCTGGTCTTCATCACGTCCACGCCCACCTGCCGCCCCGGCTCGGCCGCCAGCACGGCGTAATCTCCCTGGTGGGACACGTTGAAGCTCCAGTGGGCGGAGCCTGGTCCAGGTGAAGGCTCAGCCAGGCAGGGTTTCCCTCGAGCCGTGCGGTCCAGACGGAAACCGTCCCACGGCAAACACACCTTCTCACACACCAGCCTCCTCATCAGCAGACGCCCCGCCTACACACACACACACACACACACACACACACAGATACACACAGACACACACACGCAGACACACACACGCAGACACACACACGCAGACACAGACACGCAGACACAGACACGCAGACACACAGACACACACGCAGACACAGACACGCAGACACACAGACACGCAGACACACACACGCAGACACACACACGCAGACACACACACGCAGACACACAGACACAGACACGCAGACACAGACACGCAGACACACACACGCAGACACGCAGACACACACACGCAGACACAGACACGCAGACACACACACGCAGACACAGACACACGCAGACACAGACACGCAGACACACACACACACACTCAGATAAGCTAAATGTCACATGTGGTATTCCAGCTTCTTGTTAAGGTATTGCTAGGCCATTACTATAGTACCCCAGATGGTTGCTAAGGCATTGCTAGGCTGTTGCTATGGTATCCCAGGTGGTTGCTAAGGTGTTGATTTTTCAAGCCAACTGAACAAAAGAATAACAATAAAAAAGCTAATGGAGAAAGTATTGTAAAAAAAGTAAATTATATAAATATTATAACACATAATACATTACTTTCATTACCATTGTTAGCATTGCTTTTACTATTACGATTTTTCTCATTATTACAATATTAATACAATATTAAATTCTACTAAGGAGATCCTGAAAAACTCTCATCACTCTGACTGTAACGATTACTTATTTTTTTTTTTTTAAATCATTGATTGAATGTTACCTTCTGGATGAATCAGCAGTGATTTGTGGGTAATCTGACAGACGATAATTAATATGTTCTGTTTTTATTTTGTTTTCTAACACAGCCTTTTTACAGGCTGCCTTGTTTATAATATTAAAGTATTTTTGTACAGTTTTTTAAATGCTCTGCACAGTTTATTACTGCTTAATCCATTTATTACTTATCCAAATAACCAATCACTCAATCACTAATGTAATCAATAGCGACGGCCCAAACTGCAGTGTTAACACTACTGTGATACAGATTAAGCCACACAGGTCAGTGTGTTCAGACTGTCCACTCACCATCGCTGCTTTGGCGTCTTTGGTGAACACAAACTGTCCGATCCGCTGCTTCTCCTCCTGCTGGACGCAGCGAGCGGCCAACAGCCACTCGGAGCGGGACGGGGACCAGGCGCCGAAGCGGAAAGCCCACCGCACCCCCTCCATCCGGGCCTGGGGTTCAGGATTTAGCCAGATAGATTAAGCTCAAAGTCCAGCCTGTCCAGTAGGTGCATTCCTATGGGATGATCCTGGATTTGGGCTGAAATTGTCCAGCTGTGATGACGTCCTGCTCTGTCCAATCTCCCCCGTATTCAGTGATCTGCACTTGATGATTCAACACAACAGTAAACATGTAAACAAACTGCATTAATGCTTAAACACCTAATCCGCACACACTTGTGCTTCAGTTTGTGCAGCAATTACATTCTGGCGCTGAGGCACCAAGCTGGCTGCACCATTAAATATGGAATGGTAAAACGGGAAAACTCCACCTTAAATGGTGCAGCAGTTATTACTATAACACTTTAGGTGCCAGAATGTAACTGCTGCACCATTTAAGGTGGAACGAGAAAAATTAAAACCATTTAAGGTAGAACGGGAAAAATGAAGTCTCCAGTGCTGCACCATTTAAGGTGGAACGAGAAAAATTCGAACCATTTAAGATGGAACGGAAAAAACTGAACTCTCATATTCGCACAATTCAAGAAGCGTACAGAGTGCCATGTACTGTGTGTGGAGTGCTATGTGCTGTATATGGAAAGGGAAAAATGAATCTCCAATGCTGCACCATTTAAGGTGGAACGGGGAAAATGAAGTCTCCAATGCTGCATTTAAGGGAAAATTCGGACCATTTAAGGTGGAACGGGAAAAAATGCACTCTGCAGAATGTAACTACTGCACAATTTAAGGTGGAACTGGAAAACTCGAACAAGAAGCTGGCGAATAAGCAGCTGAGTTCAGCTTGGTCATGTCAAGACTAGTGTATGCGGTAAAACACGTTCCCGTTTAACTTTGTTTAAAGTTTAACTCAGCATTAATTTACGTTATAACTAGTCTATACTTGGACTTACATGCAGTTGGCGCAGTTAAGCGCTCTTTTAGAGGCTCTTAAAGGCTATAAAGCAAATTTAGCCTGTAGCGTTAGCAGCTCCACTCTACCTGTTCATGCTTCATCCGCGCAAGCGCACTGAGCGCCTCTCTGAGAGGCGGGGCACAAACAGCGTGGCTGATTGGCCGGTTTGGGTAATGACGCGAAGCTGCAGCCAATAGCGCGGCGCGGCTATGGAGGCGGAGCGGCGCTCAGACAGATCTACAGGAAGTAGAGCGGAATCCGCCGCTGTGTTGAATGGGAGAGCCGCGCTGTTAGAGCTGGATCTGTCTGCGCTCCGGCCTCGGCTCGCGTCACCTTCACGGAAAGCAGCGCTGCGTGAGCTTACACACGGAAATACTACCGTTTCGGTCATTTTTGGGATGAAAAACTCTGATTTAGGCTTTTAAGGCTTACTGGTGTTCCTGGAGTGTTCTGAGAACGCAGTGTTTCTCTCCTTACAGGCAGAGACAGTTATAAAGCGTTATTAGATCTAGAAGACCACGTTTTCCATCTTACCGAATCATAAAACACTGGGCTGCATTTCACTGGGTATGGAGTGCTGTGTAGAGAGTGCCATGCTCTGCGTATAGAGTGCCATGTGTTTGTGGAGTGCTATGTGCTGTGTATGGGGTGCTGTGTGTTGTGTATAGGGTGTTGTGTGCTGTATATGGAGTGCTATGTATAGAATGCAGTGTGCTGTGTAGGGAGTGCTGTGTTCTACGTGTGAAGTGCTGTATATGGAGTGCTATGCGCTGTGTATGGAGTGCTATGCGCTGTGTATGGAGTGCTGTGCGCTTTGTGTGGAGTGCTGTGTGCTGTGTATGGAGTACTTTGTGCTGTGTATGGTGTGCTGTGTATGGAGTGTTGTGTGCTGTGTGTGGTGTGCTGTGTATGGAGTGCTATGCACTGTATATGGAGTGCTATGCACTGTGTATGGAATGCTATGCGCTGTGTATGGAATGCTATGCGCTGTGTATGGAATGCTATGCGCTGTGTATGGTGTGCTGTGTATGGAGTACTTTGTGCTGTGTATGGTGTGCTGTGTATGGAGTGTTATGTGCTGTGTATGGAGTGCTGTGTGCTGTGTATGGAATGCTATGCGCTGTGTATGGAGTGTTATGTGCTGTGTATGGAGTGTTATGTGCTGTGTATGGAGTGCTGTGTGCTGTGTATGGAGTGCTGTGTGCTGTGTATGGAATGCTATGCGCTGTGTATGGAGTGCTGTGTGCTGTGTATGGAGTGCTGTGTGCTGTGTATGGAATGCTATGCGCTGTGTATGGAGTGCTGTGTGCTGTGTATGGAGTGCTGTGTGCTGTGTATGGAGTGCTGTGTGCTGTGTATGGAGTGCTGTGTATGGAGTGTTGTGTGCTGTGTGTGGTGTGCTGTGTATGGAGTGCTATGCACTGTGTATGGAATGCTATGCGCTGTGTATGGAGTGCTATGCGCTGTGTATGGAGTGCTGTGTGCTGTGTATGGAGTACTTTGTGCTGTGTATGGAGTACTTTGTGCTGTGTATGGTGTGCTGTGTATGGAGTGTTATGTGCTGTGTATGGAGTGCTGTGTGCTGTGTATGGAATGCTATGCGCTGTGTATGGAGTGTTATGTGCTGTGTATGGAGTGTTATGTGCTGTGTATGGAGTGCTGTGTGCTGTGTATGGAGTGCTGTGTGCTGTGTATGGAATGATATGCGCTGTGTATGGAGTGCTGTGTGTGGAGTGCTGTGTGCTGTGTATGGAGTGCTGTGTGCTGCGTATGGAGTGCTATGCGCTGTGTATGGAGTGCTGTGTGCTGTGTATGGTGTGCTGTGTATAGAGTGCTGTGCGCTGTGTATGGAGTGTTGTGTGCTGTGTGTGGTGTGCTGTGTATGGAGTGCTATGCACTGTGTATGGAATGCTATGCGCTGTGTATGGTGTGCTGTGTATGGAGTACTTTGTGCTGTGTGTGGTGTGCTGTGTGTGGAGTGCTGTGCGCAGTGTATGGAGTGTTATGTGCTGTGTATGGAGTGCTGTGTGCTGTGTATGGAATGCTATGCGCTGTGTATGGTGTGCTGTGTATGGAGTGCTGTGTGCTGTGTATGGAGTGTTATGTGCTGTGTATGGAGTGCTGTGTGCTGTGTATGGAGTGCTGTGTGCTGTGTATGGAATGCTATGCGCTGTGTATGGAGTGCTGTGTATGGAATGCTGTGCGCTGTGTGTGGAGTGCTGTGTGCTGCGTATGGAGTGCTATGCGCTGTGTATGGAGTGCTGTGTGCTGTGTATGGTGTGCTGTGTATAGAGTGCTGTGCGCTGTGTATGGAGTGTTGTGTGCTGTGTGTGGTGTGCTGTGTATGGAGTGATATGCACTGTGTATGGAATGCTATGCGCTGTGTATGGTGTGCTGTGTATGGAGTACTTTGTGCTGTGTATGGAGTGCTGTGTGCTGTGTGTGGAGTGCTGTGCGCTGTGTATGGAGTGTTATGTGCTGTGTATGGAGTGCTGTGTGCTGTGTATGGAATGCTATGCGCTGTGTATGGTGTGCTGTGTATGGAGTGTTATGTGCTGTGTATGGAGTGCTGTGTGCTGTGTATGGAATGCTATGCGCTGTGTATGGTGTGCTGTGTATGGAGTGCTGTGTGCTGTGTATGGAGTGCTGTGTGCTGTGTATGGAGTGCTGTGCGCTGTGTATGGAGTGTTGTGTGCTGTGTGTGGTGTGCTGTGTATGGAGTGATATGCACTGTGTATGGAATGCTATGCGCTGTGTATGGTGTGCTGTGTATGGAGTGCTTTGTGCTGTGTATGGTGTGCTGTGTATGGAGTGCTGTGTGCTGTGTGTGGTGTGCTGTGTATGGAGTGCTGTGTGCTGTGTATGGAATGCTATGCGCTGTGTATGGTGTGCTGTGTATGGAGTGCTGTGTGCTGTGTATGGAGTGCTGTGTGCTGTGTGTGGAGTGCTGTGTGCTGCGTATGGAGTGCTGTGTGCTGCGTATGGAGTGCTATGCGCTGTGTGCTGTGTATGGTGTGCTGTGTATAGAGTGCTGTGCGCTGTGTGTGGAGTGCTGTGTGTGGAGTGCTGTGTGTGGAGTTCTGTGTGTGGAGTTCTGTGTGTGGAGTTCTGTGTGTGGAGTTCTGTGTGTGGAGTTCTGTGTGTGGAGTGCTATCCGCTGTGTATGGTGTGCTGTGTGTGGAGTGCTGTGTGCTGTGTGTGGAGTGCTGTGTGCTGTGTATGGAGTGCTGTGTGCTGCGTATGGAATGATATGCGCTGTGTGTGGTGTGCTGTGTATGGAGTGCTGTGTGCTGTGTATGGAGTGCTGTGTGCTGTGTATGGAGTGCTGTGTGCTGTGTGCTGTGTATGGAGTGCTGTGTGCTGTGTATGGAGTGCTGTGTGCTGTGTATGGAGTGCTGTGCGCTGTGTGTGGAGTGCTGTGCGCTGCGTATGGAGTGCTGTGCGCTGCGTATGGAGTGCTGTGTGCTGCGTATGGAGTGCTGTGTGCTGTGTATGGAGTGCTGTGTGCTGTGTATGGAATGATATGCGCTGTGTATGGTGTGCTGTGTATGGAGTGCTGTGCGCTGTGTGTGGAGTGCTGTGTGCTGTGTGTGGAGTGCTGTGTGCTGCGTATGGAGTGCTATGCGCTGTGTATGGAGTGCTGTGTGCTGTGTATGGTGTGCTGTGTATAGGGTGCTGTGCGCTGTGTGTGGAGTGCTATGCGCTGTGTATGGGGTGCTGTGTGTGGAGTGCTGTGTGCTGCGTGTGGAGTGCTGTGTGCTGCGTATGGAGTGCTGTGTGCTGTGTATGGAATGATATGCGCTGTGTATGGTGTGCTGTGTATGGAGTGCTGTGTGCTGTGTATGGAGTGCTGTGCGCTGCGTATGGAGTGCTGTGCGCTGCGTATGGAGTGCTTTGCGCTGCGTATGGAGTGCTTTGCGCTGCGTATGGAGTGCTTTGCGCTGCGTATGGAGTGCTGTGTGCTGCGTATGGAGTGCTGTGTGCTGTGTATGGAGTGCTATGCGCTGTGTATGGTTTGCTGTGTATGGAGTGCTGTGTATGGAATGCTGTGCTGTGTATGGAGTGCTGTGTATGGAATGCTGTGTGCTGTGTGTGGAGTGCTATGAGCTGTGTATGGAGTGCTGTGTGCTGTGTATGGAGTGCTGTGTGCTGCGTATGGAGTTTTGTGTGCTGCGTATGGAGTGGTTTGCACTGTGTATGGAGTGCTGTGTGCTGTGTATGGAGTGCTATGCGCTGTGTATGGTGTGCTGTGTATGGAGTGCTGTGTGCTGTGTATGGAATGCTATGCGCTGTGTATGGTGTGCTGTGTATGGAGTGCTGTGTGCTGTGTATGGAGTTTTGTGTGCTGCGTATGGAGTGCTTTGCACTGTGTATGGAGTGCTGTGTGCTGTGTATGGAATGCTATGCGCTGTGTATGGAGTACTTTGTGCTGTGTATGGAGTGCTATGCCCTGTGTATGGAGTGCTGTGTGCTGTGTATGGAGTACTTTGTGCTGTGTATGGAGTGCTATGCCCTGTGTATGGAGTGCTGTGTGCTGTGTATGGAGTGCTGTGTATGGAGTGCTGTGCGCTGTGTATGGAGTGTAGTGTGCTGTGTATGGAGTACTTTGTGCTGCGTATGGAGTGCTGTGCGCTGTGTATGGTGTGCTGTGTATGGAGTGCTGTGCGCTGTGTATGGTGCGCTGCGTATGGAGTGCTATGCCCTGTGTATGGAGTGCTGTGTGCTGTGTATGGAGTACTTTGTGCTGCGTATGGAGTGCTGTGCGCTGTGTATGGTGTGCTGTGTATGGAGTGCTATGCGCTGTGTATGGAGTACTTTGTGCTGTGTATGGAGTGCTGTGCGCTGTGTATGGAGTGTTATGTGCTGTGTATGGAGTGCTGTGTGCTGTGTATGGAATGCTATGCGCTGTGTATGGTGTGCTGTGTATGGAGTGCTGTGTGCTGTGTATGGAGTGCTGTGTGCTGTGTATGGAGTGCTGTGTGCTGTGTATGGAGTGCTGTGTGCTGCGTATGGAGTGCTATGCGCTGTGTATGGAGTGCTATGCGCTGTGTATGGAGTGCTATGCGCTGTGTATGGAGTGCTGTGTGCTGCGTGTGGAGTGCTGTGTGCTGCGTATGGAGTGCTGTGTGCTGCGTATGGAGTGCTATGCGCTGCGTATGGAGTGCTATGCGCTGTGTATGGAGTGCTGTGTGCTGTGTGTGGTGTGCTGTGTATAGAGTGCTGTGCGCTGTGTGTGGAGTGCTGTGTGTGGAGTGCTGTGTGTGGAGTGCTATCCGCTGTGTATGGTGTGCTGTGTATGGAGTGCTGTGTGCTGTGTATGGAGTGCTGTGTGCTGTGTATGGAATGATATGCGCTGTGTATGGTGTGCTGTGTATGGAGTGCTGTGTGCTGTGTATGGAGTGCTGTGTGCTGTGTATGGAATGATATGCGCTGTGTATGGTGTGCTGTGTATGGAGTGCTGTGTGCTGTGTATGGAGTGCTGTGTGCTGTGTGCTGTGTATGGAGTGCTGTGTGCTGTGTATGGAGTGCTGTGCGCTGCGTATGGAGTGCTGTGCGCTGCGTATGGAGTGCTGTGCGCTGCGTATGGAGTGCTGTGCGCTGCGTATGGAGTGCTGTGCGCTGCGTATGGAATGATATGCGCTGTGTATGGTGTGCTGTGTATGGAGTGCTGTGCGCTGTGTGTGGAGTGCTGTGTGCTGTGTGTGGAGTGCTGTGTGCTGCGTATGGAGTGCTGTGTGCTGCGTATGGAGTGCTATGCGCTGTGTATGGAGTGCTGTGTGCTGTGTATGGTGTGCTGTGTGTGGAGTGCTATGCGCTGTGTATGGGGTGCTGCGTGTGGAGTGCTGTGTGCTGCGTGTGGAGTGCTGTGTATGGAATGATATGCGCTGTGTATGGTGTGCTGTGTATGGAGTGCTGTGCGCTGTGTATGGAGTGCTGTGCGCTGTGTGTGGAGTGCTGTGCGCTGCGTATGGAGTGCTGTGCGCTGCGTATGGAGTGCTGTGCGCTGCGTATGGAGTGCTGTGCGCTGCGTATGGAGTGCTGTGTGCTGTGTATGGAGTGCTGTGTGCTGTGTATGGAGTGCTATGCGCTGTGTATGGTTTGCTGTGTATGGAATGCTGTGCTGTGTATGGAGTGCTGTGTATGGAATGCTGTGTGCTGTGTGTGGAGTGCTATGAGCTGTGTATGGAGTGCTGTGTGCTGCGTATGGAGTTTTGTGTGCTGCGTATGGAGTGGTTTGCACTGTGTATGGAGTGCTGTGTGCTGTGTATGGAGTGCTATGCGCTGTGTATGGTGTGCTGTGTATGGAGTGCTGTGTGCTGTGTATGGAATGCTATGCGCTGTGTATGGTGTGCTGTGCATGGAGTGCTGTGTGCTGTGTATGGAGTTTTGTGTGCTGCGTATGGAGTGCTTTGCACTGTGTATGGAGTGCTGTGTGCTGTGTATGGAATGCTATGCGCTGTGTATGGAGTACTTTGTGCTGTGTATGGAGTGCTATGCCCTGTGTATGGAGTGCTGTGTGCTGTGTATGGAGTACTTTGTGCTGTGTATGGAGTGCTATGCCCTGTGTATGGAGTGCTGTGTGCTGTGTATGGAGTGCTATGCCCTGTGTATGGAGTGCTGTGTATGGAGTGCTGTGCGCTGTGTATGGAGTGTAGTGTGCTGTGTATGGAGTACTTTGTGCTGCGTATGGAGTGCTGTGCGCTGTGTATGGTGTGCTGTGTATGGAGTGCTGTGCGCTGTGTATGGTGCGCTGCGTATGGAGTGCTGTGCGCTGTGTATGGAGTGCTGTGTGCTGTGTATGGAGTACTTTGTGCTGCGTATGGAGTGCTGTGCGCTGTGTATGGTGTGCTGTGTATGGAGTGCTGTGCGCTGTGTATGGAGTGTAGTGTGCTGTGTATGGAGTACTTTGTGCTGCGTATGGAGTGCTGTGTGCTGTGTATAGAGTGCTTTGTGTTGTGTATAGAGTGCTTTGTGTTGTGTATAGAGTGCTTTGTGTTGTGTATAGAGTGCTGTGCTGTGTATAGAGTGCTGTGTGTTGTGTATAGAGTGCTTTGTGTTGTGTATAGAGTGCTGTGCTGTGTATAGAGTGCTGTGTGTTGTGTATAGAGTGCTGTGTGTTGTGTATAGAGTGCTTTGTGTTGTGTATGGAGTGCTGTGCGCTGTGTATGGAGTGTAGTGTGCTGTGTATGGAGTACTTTGTGCTGCGTATGGAGTGCTGTGTGCTGTGTATAGAGTGCTTTGTGTTGTGTATAGAGTGCTTTGTGTTGTGTATAGAGTGCTGTGTGTTGTGTATAGAGTGCTGTGCTGTGTATAGAGTGCTGTGTGTTGTGTATTGAGTGCTGTGTGTTGTGTATAGAGTGCTGTGCTGTGTATAGAGTGCTGTGTGTTGTGTATAGAGTGCTGTGCTGTGTATAGAGTGCTGTGTGTTGTGTATAGAGTGCTGTGTTGTGTATGGAGTGCTGTGTGTTGTGTATTGAGTGCTGTGTGTATCATTAGAATTAACAATAGTAATGAGTTGTTGTTGTTGTTGTTGTTGTTGTTGTTGTAATTATCAACAACAACAACAATAATAATAGCATATTGTTTTAAACAGAGGCTGTGCTGAACATCTGCTGCCCTCACCTGGATACTCAGCATGTGTGCGCCTTGTGTGAGCTCTAATATCCCACAGTGGACGGGTGGACGGAGTTCTTCCTGATCGCCCGTCACACTGAGACGACTCGATGAGGACCAGATATTTGGGACTGTGAACTTATTCATTAGCCATCTGATGTGGGTCCACACTTCACTCTCATAACTACAGTACATATTTTCATACACAATACTGAATAATTAAAAGGAATAACTGAATATTTCATAGTAAATACTCAGTAATTCATAGTAGGTACTGAATGATTTATAGTGGATATTGAATAATTCCTAGCAGATACTGAATGACTCATAGTAGATACTGAATGATTCATAGTAGATAGATTAGTAACCTGGGGTCAATAAGTCATATTCTATAATTTTAAAAAGTTCATTGTTCTTGATCAATAACAAAATGTTCCCGCTGTGTTAGAACCCCACTGCAGTGTCTTCATCATCACCTGAGTCTTCCTCGTGGTTCTCCATCATGGACTTCCTGCAGATGAAGCACCTGAAGCGGAAGCGGAAGAGCAACTACAGCGTGCGGGAGACGCAGACGCTGATCCGGGAGATCCAGCGCCGGCGGGACGTCCTGTTTTCGCGGCAGCAGAACACGGCGGTCAACGAGCTGAAGCGGCGCGCCTGGGAGGAGGTGGCGGAGTGCGTGAACGCGCTGGGCGAGGGCGAGGTGCGCACGGCCGGAGAGGTCAAGCGCCGCTACCTGGACTGGCGCACGCTGATGAAGCGGAAGCAGCTGCGGGCACAGCTGGCCGCCGGACTGCAGCCAGACTACGACCCGCCCTGTTCTCCCGACAACGAGGGCTCGCTCGGCGGAGAGCCGCCGCAGGAACCGGCCGGCTTTCAGAAAGACCCGCAGGGATACTGGCAGGATCTGCCTGACCTCGGGGAGAACAGCGTCCACTGTGGGGTCAAAATGGAGGACACAGAGGGTAGCGGATATAACGTAGGTGACCTGCAGGACGGTGGACGTTTCACTATTGTGAAGGAGCAGTTTCTGCTAGCTAGCATGGCTGGAGATATCTCAAATGCACATTGTCAATACTGATTTTTTTTTGTTTTAGATTTTTTACTTTTAATAAAAAACCTAAGAGGTTTATATCATATTATTTTTGACAAAAACGTTTGCATACTGTATTGACTGTTGATAGATTAAATCAGTGAACCTGCCTGTTCCCTGTGTGTGTTTGTTCCTCCACAGCTGGACGGCGGAGTCTGCGACAGTGTTCCAGGTGAGATAGAAGGTGAGGGAGATGACGATGATGAAGATTGCTTCCCCTCCATCCTGCAGGATGTGGACAGAGAAGGAACCATCCCTGAAGACTTTGCCCACATTGATGAGTTTGGCGTGCTGAGCTGCTCTAAAGCTCCCGCAGGACCGTCGCTGGCTCGAGACCTGGGCCCTGACACACCTGGCACACCTGGAGTGGGCGGCGCCACGCCGGGCCCGCCTGCAGGAGACAGCACAGGCCTGCTGGTTGCGCTGGAGAAGCAGCGCCTGGAGCTGGAGAAGCAGCGTCTGCAGGTGGAGTCGGAGCGGCTGCAGGTGGAGAAGGAGCGCCTCCAGGTGGAGAAGAAAAGGCTGTGCCAGGCCGAGATGGAGCGAGAGCGCCTCCAGCTGGAGAAAGAGCGCCTGGACTTGGAGAGAGAGAGACTCCGCCTGCTCGTGCAACAGTCAGCGCTGCCACAGCAAAGCCCTGCCTCCTCCACCACCGCGGCCACGCCCACCACTTCATCCGCCCCATCTTCGTCGTCCTCGCTGGACGTGGAGAAGGACAGGAAGCCCCCCTGGCCGGTGTGGACGGATCTGGAGGCGGAGAAGCTGAAGCTGGAGAAAGAGCGCCTCCTGCTGGAGAAGGAGAGACTGCAGTTCTTCAGGTTCGAGTCGGGCCGGCTGCAGATCGAGCGAGAGCGCCTCCAGGTGGAGAAGGAGAGGCTGCAGCTGCACAAGGACGGACAGCAGATGGCGTTGCACTCGTAGAGCCACTGCTTGTGGAGATCCAGCAACCTGTTTGTAACACACCTGAGCAGGTTAACAGATTCTTCAGGAGGATCTGAACTGTAGAGTCAGGTGTGTTAGATTAAGGCTGGAGACAACAGCACAAACTGCTACTGTTCAGTGTCCTTAAAGCGATAATTAGGCAAAAAATAATCCAGTTCCCCCAGTTTCCCCCAGATATAGTCGATCAACCTCATTTGGTGTCTGAAGTTTGTTTCTGTAGTTTTAGCACTGGAGCTATGAGGTTAATGTAGCTAACAAGAAGCTTATGTACACCAGTTAGCATGGTGCTAACAGCAGACCCCTCAAACCGTGTGGAGGTGTTCAGTATCTCTAACAGACTTCATTATGTGGTTTCTGACGCAGTTGGGTAGAACTTCAATCGGGCCAGAAATTTTGGCCCTAACCCAAATAAAGCCAGAGAGTGTTCTGTCTGAAATTGACCCGAAACCAACAAAGCTTTGCCCGAACACAACAATAATCAAGCTTTGAGCCCAAACCCAACCAAGAGCAACAAAATTCTGTCTGGACCTGACCTGACCCAAACCACCTTAGAATGTTTTGAGTTCGAACCTGAACCACGATGCGACAGAATTCTGTCCGGACCCGACCTAACCCAAACTACATCGTCAAATTTTATGTCCGTTTATAGTCCGACTTGAGTATAACAAAGTTCTGGCTGGACCCGAACTGACCCAAACCACATTGAGGCGTTTCTAATCAGAACCGGATCACGACAGAATTCTGTCCAAACTCACCCAAACCACATCGTCATGTTCTGAGTCCAAACTCAAACCCCAAACCGACCCGAACCACATCATCATGTTTTGAGTCAAACTGAAATTTATTTCTTTTGCTCTTGAGCCCAAACGTGCTGATCGACTGTATCTGAGCTCGTTATCCTATCAAATTCACTTCATCTATCACTGCCAGATGAGCAGAGACTGCAGACTGTAGTCCAGATTTTATCCGTGTGCTCCGGTGTGGCTGTAGCTCAGCGTCTCGGACAGACAGGGCGCCGGATGGAGGGATGAGCTGGAGGACAAAGTAAACCCTCCCTGAGGATGGAGGGATTTAAAGAGGTTTAATTATGGAGCTCCAAAAGAGTCAGTGTGTCTGTACGTGTTGTGTTGGAGTCTCAGTGTTTCTGCGTTCCTGTTGGTTCTGTAGTCGAGTCTCTGGAGTTCCTCTCTTCTTCTCCTGTTGTTCCTGTGTTCATGTTCTCAGCAGACGTAAAGTTCGCTGTGTGTGTATCGTGATATGATCTCAGCCACGCGAAAATCTCCGCTAGTGTAAACTGTGCCTTAGCTAACTGTGCTAATCGGGAGCCGCTCGCTCTTACCTTGTTATTGTGAGTGTGTCTTAGCAGGAGCGGAGCGGCTAACTGTGTTAGCAGTTTACTCAACTTCACTGTGAAGCCGGTCAGATCCAGGGAAGGGGGAGGAGTTTTGTGTTGGGGTGCTGAGATTTTAAACAGCGTTTACAGATCGTATACATTACAGCTGCTTTACTGTAGCGTGTGCAGCTGTTAGTGTGGTTCTTTAATATGATCTCCTTTGCAGCTCCTCAAATTAGCTAGTTTAGCTAGTTTGGTCTGGCTGATGAACAGAGTGTGGTAGTGGTGAGTGGTGGTGCCAGCCAATCACAGGCTAGTCAGTCACAGGCCAACTGATCACAAGCCAACCAGTCGAAGGCAAACCACTCACAAAGTAACCTGTGTAGCTAACCAAGCACAAAGTAACCTGAGAAGCCAACCAAACACAGGCTAATCAATCACAAGCCAACCAATCACAAAGTAACCTGTGAAGCTAACCAATCACAGGCAAATCGATTACAAGCCAACCAATCACAGGCTAACCAATCTTGGGCTAACGTGTAAAGCCAACCAATCACAAAGTAACCTGTGTGGCTAACCAAGCACAAAGTAACCTGTGAGGCCAACCAATCACAGGCTAATCTATCACAAGCCCGTCAATTGCAGGCTACCCAATCACAAAGTAACCTGTGAAGCTAACCAATCACAAAGTAACCTGTGAAGCTAACCAATCACAGACTAACCAATCACAAAGTAACCTGTGTGGCTAACCAAGCACAAAGTAACCTGTGAGGCCAACCAATCACAGGCTAATCTATCACAAGCCAACCAATCGCATGCTACCCAATCACAAAATAATCTGTGAAGCTAACCAATCACAGGCTAATCAATCACAAGCCAATCAATCACAAGCCAACCAATCACAGACTAAGCAATCACATAGTAACTTGTGAGGCCAACCAATCACAGGCTAATCTATTACAAGCCAACCAATCGCAGGCTACCCAGGCACAAAGTAACCTGTAAAGATAACCAATCACAGGCTAATATATCACAAGCCAGTCAATTGCAGGCTACCCAATCACAAAGTAACCAGTGTAGCTAACCAATCACAAAGTAACCTATGAAGGTTACCAATCACAGGCTAATCGATCACAAGCCAACCAATCACAGGCTAACCAATCGCAAAGTAACCTGTGAAGCTTACCAATCACAGGCTAATCAATCACAAGCCAACCAATCACAGACTAACCAATCATAAAGTAACCTGGGAAGCTAACCAGTCACAGGCTAACCAGTCACAGGCTAACCAGTGAAGCTAACCTATTACAGGCTAACCAATCACAGGTGAACACATTAAGCTAACCGATCAGAAGTTAACCAGTCATAAGCTAACCTAAGCTATCCAATCATTGGCTGACTTGTGAAACTAACCAATCACTGGCTAACCTGTACAGCTAACAAACCACAGGCTAATCATTCAAAGGCTAACATATGAAGCTAACCAGTCACAGGCTGAGCAAACATAAGCTAACCAATCACAGGATCTAGGCTATCAAAGCACAAGCTAACCTTTGCAGCAGACCAATCACAAGCGGACCAATCAGTCTGATCAATCATCGTCGGATCCCTGTGGGAGGTTTTTCTGTTCACAGCTGAAAGCTTATCAAAGAAGAGACACTTAGGCCCAATCCCATTTCTTCTTTTTACCCCTACCCCTTGTTTTCGAGTGTCACCCTAACCACCCTAGTGGTTAAAAACTTGCCCTACGAAATGGGACAACCCTCAAATTAAAACATCGCTTCATTAACAGCTACTAGCGCTGCTCTGTAGGCGACCCTGCCAGTCTGCAGTGACAGCAGAGGAGGGTAAAGTTCAGCTCCTCACTGCTGGGCTTTAGTTACATTTAGGGCATCATATGACTTCAAAGAGGGGGGCAATCATTTATTATCACCGACTCCAATTATTTGGTGATACGAAGCTGAAGTCATCCATTCACTAGCTTCTCGTTCGAATTTTACCGTTCCACCTTAAATGGTGCAGCAGTTACATTCTGGCGCTCCTGGCGTCAATACTGCCGGACTATTTAAGGTGGAACGGGAAAGTTAGCTAGCTACTGAGACATTAGCATGCTATTAGCGGTTTGTTTGTGCTTGTTGTGAAGAAAACGACCAAAATACATTGAAAAGACATTAAATTAAAATAATATGATGGTTATTGTAATTTTTTAACAGAGAAAATTCTCACATTTGTGGGTTTCTTTGGTCGCTTGCGCAGCCATCTTGCCGTTTTTTTTGTTTTTTTTTCACCCCTCTATCTCAACTAAAATTGGGACACCCTTACCCTAGACATGAATGCGCAAAACAGAGGGCTAAGGGCTAAGTGGTAGGAGCAAGGGGTGAAATGGGATTGGGCCTTAGTTTGCTAATTTAAAACAAATCTAAAAGTCTCAGGTGTTTAATTTTATAAATCCCTGAGTGTTTTATAAATCCCTGAGTGTCCAGACCAAACCGTCAGCGCCGGAAACCCCAGACGTCACAGTGAAAACATAATGAACACCAAACAAACAAGCTCAAACTGTATTTATCAGTTCTTCATTATAGTTAACTCAACTGTAGTAGTTGAGTGATGCTGACAGCAGGGGGAGCTGCAGCGCCTTCAGCACAGATTCATCCCGCCTCCCTGATCACAGCAGATACACACACACACACACACACGTTCCAGTCTGGTTTACATTCCCATAATGCCATTCCAGCTTCATCTGAGCGCACGTGTAGCTGAATATGATTATGATTATGATTATTGATTATAGATCACTGAGTTATCTACAGATCACTGAGTTCAGTGTGTGTGTTTATTGTTTCTCTCCTGACCGACAGTTGGGTCAACGTGCCTCCAGAACAGACTGAACAATCATCTGCTCTCATTTTCATACAGTTATTTATTTTTTTAAAATTCTGTATTTCTTTTTTGATATGACATTTTAAATATGTTATATAGTGGAGTTGTGTGAAAGGGGAATTCCACCACTTTTCCAAAATATTCCCATAATTAAATGATTGAGAAACAGAGCTGTTCAGAGTGGTTCAGAGTGGTTTGGTGTGAAATCCTCCGTTCTAGAGTAACTGACAGTGTCAGAACTGTTCACAGTGGTGGTGATAGGAACCAGACGTCCACCTCTAAAAGCTCCCTCACAGAAAGTTACTACATGAAATGGTTATGAATTCACTGCCTGATGACTGAGACACTGTTTATGATAGTTTAGAGAACTTAAACTCCATTCATGGTGGAGGGATACATGCAGGGCGCTGTGAGGCAAAATAGTCCCCAAAGAAAACTTATTATTTCAGATTTTCCATTATTTCCATCATCAAGATTCCATATAAACTCAGAAGACTCGTGTAGGTTCACTGGTGGTTCTGGATAGTAAATAATATATTATATTTATACTATATTTGTGTTGTAGTCATGGCGACCCCTGTTTCCTATCACCACCACTGTAAAGACATCTGAACCATTTCACACCAAACCACTCTGAATCACTCTGATTACATCTCACACACTGAATTATGGGGGAATTTTGAAAAATGGGTATGATGCCCCTTAATCTATTGTGTAAGTATTGTGTGTCAGTATTGTGTGTGTGTGTGTGTGTGTGTGTGTGTGTGTAAAGGTGGTGGTAAATAAAATGTATATTGTTGTTTACAGTAAACAGACTGGCTGTGTTGACTCTAAAGCACAGAGCATGTAAGATGAGGTTATGAGGTACTGAGAGTTCAGGCGCTTTAGGATTTTTTCAGTATTTTAACATTTTAATGACATACAGTGCCGTTCAAAGACGCCCAGCTGAGTGAATGTACTTCATATTCTTAAAGACAGTTTGATATTAAAGGGTCCGTATCTCACAATGTTGTAGTCTGTTTTTGACCCTGAGGTCCATTTTTAACACCAGTGTGGTTTTATGTACCAAAATCAATCATAATTCATTTCTACATAATTATTTTCTGAACTCTCTTTATCCCTCACAGTTAAACAGGCTGTTTGTGTTACTGTCTTTGAGACTAATATATGTAAATGAGCTCTGCCCTGATTGGCTGTCCTGTATTGTGCCTCATTCAAAAGTCGTCCAGTCTGCAAAACTTCATTGTGAATGGGCGGAGCTAGTTAGCTGTAGCCTGGGTGGCGGGGTAAATCTGGTGTAGCTTGAGTGGGTGGGGCTAAACTGCTGTAGGCTGAATGGGTGGAGCTAAACCGCTGTAGGCTGAATGTGTGGAGCTAAACCGCTGTAGGCTGAATGGGTGGAGCTAAACTGCTGTAGGCAGAATGGGTGGAGCTAAACTGCTGTAGGCAGAATGGGTGGAGCTAAACTGCTGTAGGCTGAATGGGCATGGCTAAACTGCTGTATGCTGATTGTGTAGAGCTAAACTGCTGTAGCCTGAATGGGTCGATATGTGTAACATTACAAAATGGTGAGTTTATTCAAAGTACTAATCAGCAATTAGGCTAATAATTATCTATAATTATTGATATAAGGTATGAGATATTGATCAGCCTGATTCTGATGGTCATGGATGATGTAGGATGACGTTTGTGGTTTTGGAAAAGCTAATAAACAGCTGTTACTGACGGTGGTGGAAGCTTCTGGAAGACTCTGTCCTGGATTCTCCTTCTTCGTGATGAATCTATAACCTTTTCAGATGTTCTTCTGAGATTTATTTAGTTTGTTCTTCAGGGTCAGTTCACTCACCTGAGTGGAGCTCCGTGGCATTTCCACAGCTCTGTAACCTGAACACCTGCTGGGAAGAGGAGCTTTGGAGCTGTATTTGGGGGAGACGTTGATGTTCTCACAAGGATTTAAAACACTGGAGGAGCTCAGAAACAAGAGAAACATGTTAAATATATTGTTTTTGTTCTGTTAAAAGAGAATTCAGTGCAAAGATTTATGGTATAATAAAGTATAATAAATCAATAAGCTACAGCAGGGTGTGCGTTACTGTGATTTTACCACAGGGAAAGGGTTGTTGTTAGGCATGATGTGAAGCGGAGTAAAACTCCCTTCCTTGTAATAAAATCACTGCAATGCACAGCCTTGAGTGGATTATTGGTTCTATAAAATGGTGGCCAACGTAAAATATGATAAAATACACAATTTTTCAGAAAATAATTTGTTATTATTAAATATAATCAATATAAACAAGTATCCCCACCAAGAAATGTAGTTTGTTTAGAATGTGGCATTGTTGTCAAGCAGCCATGGACCACTGAATTAGGAAAACGTTCGGTCGCCCATCACTGTATACTGCAGTCATTTACAGCAGTTTAGCCCCACCCATTCAGCCAATGGCAGTTTAGTCCCTCCCACTCATAGCTGAAGTGGAGTTTTAGCCTGGACTGCTTGAATAAGACACACTACAGGACAGCCAATCAGAACAGAGCTCATTTACATATATCAGTCTTAAAGGCACAGTAACAGACAGCCTGTTGAACTGTGAGGGATAAAGAGAGGCTGGAAAATGATGTAGAAATTAATTATGACTGATTTTGGTACATAAAACCTCACAGATGTTATAAATGGATCTCAGTGGAGAAAACAGACTACAAGAAAAATCTTATTCGAATTAGAAAATCAAGCAGATTGTATTGTTGTGAGAAAAGGAAAACACCGCAGAGTGTGTACAAATTCTCCTCTTTTATTTCTCGTCTGGTGGGTAACAAAGAGAGAAAGAACACAATCCTGAAATCAAAACGTCCCAAACTAAAACAAAAAACACACAAATAACGTGAGGAAATCGATATGCAGATCGTTCATGTGCCCGGTGACCTAGTGCTACAGTGAGAGTGTGTGTGTGGACCCTGTCGAGGACGAGGATGAGTACACAGTCGTTCACTTTAGTTATCAAAAACAAGCCAGGTCAGCAGAACATATGCCGTGGTCTCACACTAGGTGGCGCTCTTTTAGTTCCTTTCCCTCTATAACTCTATATATGTGTACGCATATAAAATATTTTTTCGTAATTACAAGTTGTGTTGTTCTATATTCATTATTGCGATGATTTATCACCTAAGATGGTTTACAAAAAGGTGGCGCTTGTCTACAGGTATTTACATCCGTTTAAAAAGCAGTTTACGTCGTTTCTTCCGCTGCTTCATGTTTTCCCCAGAATGTACATATTTACGTTAATTAACTTATCGCTTAGCAACTACTGTGGTGTGTGACTGCATCGTCTTTTCTCTGTTTTAAATCAACTAAGCGATGTCACTCAGGGTGGCTAGCTAACGCTATAGCTAATATTCTAACTACTTTTTTTTTGCGTTAATTTCTCGGAGACTACAGCTGAGGAGGTCAGAGGTTAAAGAAAAGCGTGGTGCTCGTCTCGTTTCAAACAATGTGTGTGGAAAGTACAGGAAATTTACACAGTCCAGAGTTTCAAGTTTACAGTTTTGTGGTCTTTTTCTTTTTCTTCCGTGGGCGATGTTTCTGCGATGATCATATTAAGGCGTCTGAAATCCTGATGATAGTTCACGCCCTCTAGTGTTCACTTTGCTTTTTCTCTGCGTCCTTAAAATCCATTTTGCTGTTCAACTTCACATTTTGTCATTGTTTTTTTTTCTTTACATCCCAGATTCTCCGTGTGAAGAACTGAATCAGTGTAATCGTAGTTTTTCGTCAGTTTTTGTAGTCCAGGTGGGCCGGCCAGAAGCATGGCGTAGTCAGCAGGATTAGCGTGGCGTAAGGCACAGGGTGAGTTTTTTGGTTGCTATGGGAGCTCGGAGGAGGACACCACGGCGAGGGCGGGGCCGCGGCGGAGGGAGGGGCCAGAGTGCACGGCCTTAGGGCAGTCTGGCGTCAGGACACGCCCGTTTTCCCCCAGGCTGCCCGTGATCGACAGCCGGGCCTTGTTTCTCATGGCTTCGGTGAAGGTGAGCTAGAGAGGGAGGCGGGACGAGAGGAGGCGGAGTCAGAACACAACCTGCAGCTTCTCTTGAGAGGCTATCAGAATATGTAAATCACACAGTAACATCACAATGACACCAACCAGCAACACATCAAAGAACAGAAAAACAAAAAACAAAAACAGGAAACAAACAATGCAGGCAACAACAAACATCAACAGACATTTCAGATGTTCCACACTGCTCGACATCTGCATTTCTAACACAAACACATGCAGCCCTGTATGTTCAGATCTGTTTTGCTAAGCTAATGTTAAGATGTGAGGGTCAGCCATCTTTCATTTGAAGGCATAAATTTTGTGTAACATGTCAGTAAATTAGTGAATAATGTTCTATTGATTAATTCAGGCCCCGTCGACACGCATCCTTGTATTTTTGAAAACTTATTTTGGCCTCCTGTTCGCACGGAAACATATGGGAACAGTGTGCTTGTGCACGTGTTTTGTGCACGGTGGAATGTTGAGGAAATTCAAATCTGCCACAAATGATGTTACAAAGAATAACTCTCACATTTCCTCTCATTGACATTACATTCAGACTCATATATTTACTAGTACACATTTGCACACCCATATTAGCAACCACCTGGGATACTATATCAGCCTTTCACAACAGAGCATGGCCTAACAACTCCTTAGCAACACCTGGGATCCCATGGCAATGACCTAGCAACACCTTACTGACCACCTGGGATTTCATAGCAACGGCCTAGCAACACCATAACAGCCACCATGGATGAATTCAGATTTAAAATAAATCCAAACTTCATAAGTCAAAAGGGATGAAAAGCTCAGAAAAACTCAGATTTTCTGTTTGATCAGAACTGTGAATGTTTCAGAAACAGCAGCGTAACCATGGCAACATAAACAACCCCACAACAGTTGGACGGCTTTCTTTTACTTTCACATTTATACACACATATTAACAACCAGCTGTGACACCATAGCATGGCCTAACAACTCCTTAGCAACCACCTGTGACACCATAGCAAAGGCCTAACAATACCTTAGCAACCACCTGTGACACCACAGCATGGCCTAACAACTCCTTAGCAACCACCTGTGACACCATAGCATGGCCTAACAACTCCTTAGCAACCACCTGTGACACCATAGCATGGCCTAACAACTCCTTAGCAACCACCTGGGATTCCATCTAAACGACATCTTAAATCTAGTCAGTATATCTAATATTTCTTGTTCTGAAATTGTTGTAAGAATATTATAAGATTATTTAACTCATTTCAGACGTTTGTATTAGTTTTAAGTAATGTATTTTATGGAAGTGTCTTGCTGAGATCTCTTTTTTTTGCTGTGTAAAAATACTATAATCATTCTAAAGATATGTGACTTTATGGTCAATAACGAAAGTGAGATTTGAAATAAATCCAAACTTTATAATAACAAACGGGGTAAACAGCTAGAAAATGTAAAAACGTAGCCATGGCAACGTAAACAACCCCATGGCAGACGGCAGGCTTTCTTTCACTTTTTCAGCTTTTATTTTCTGGCAGGAATCTTTGAATCTGTGTCAGTGTTGAATTACGGAGGTTGGACAGCCTGCAGGACGAAGTTTTACGGTGTTTATAATGCTGCCGCCATCACACTGTTAGAAAATCTCAGCTTCAGCTTTGTGCTCTGTATTTCTTGAGGTGTATGACATCACATTTTTGGGGCATTGTTGCCCCCTACTGCACTGGCATGCTTGAGTCACTTTTGCCTTCGCGTGTGAACGTAAGAGATTTTCGCTGCTGGTGTGGAAAAAAATAAATAAAAAAAAATTTTCACAAATATGTTTTTAAAAATATCCTGATGCGTGTGGACGAGGCCTCAGACTGGCATCACCCTTTATATTATTACACTTTATTCCAAAGGTCATTCCAAATATGTGATATAATGCTGTATAACAAAAATAAGAGAATGAATCAGATAAAATGTGATAAAACAGCAGAACTCTGAATATTTCTGACAACCAAGCTAATTGATGTTACCACTCGTGAAGGATATGGCAAATTTAAAAAAAATTGTAAATATATAATTTTGAATTCAAAACATGTTGTTGTTGAGCCTCTTTATATCAGGCCCAGTCACTCTGAACTGAACATAATTCTACAACATTTCTATACTGGAGCACTTTGGAGATTGTCGTGTGTTACTTTTGGAAGTATGACTGATTATGCTGAAGTGGTTATAGATAAGAATTTATCAAAAATATATAAATAGCATTTTTAATTTAAGCACCACTCCCCACTCAAGCATTATTTTCATGTACACCACTTTTCCTCCAATGACACTTGAGAAGTAACAAAAAACAACAAAGAAAATGCATTTTTATTATCTTTTACACCCAAAGTGACACTGACCCATATGAACTATCGTGATACAGACCCCAAACAGCCCATTGTAAACTTTATTAAACTATATTTAAGCTTAAATAAAGCATTATAGATCGGTTTGCTGATGCAACTGAAAAGAAATGAAATGTGCAAGAAAGAGCCGAACATCAAACTTAGCACAGCAAACCATCATTAAACATTTCTTTTTCTTCTATAATGCTTTACTGCTGTGTAATGACAGTACTGCCCTCTTGTGGTCCTGTACAATCTAATATATGCATATATATTAGACTATGTTATGTTATTAAAAGCAGTTCTACAGTTCTGATTGTTCATTTGACGGCGGTTTGATTGATCTGCTGAGTAATTTATTTGTAATGCAGGTGTCTGAGACTCTGAAGCCAACAGCATACACATCATCCACTGCAGCCAAAACAAACAGAGCAATATGAGAAAAACAAACAGAAACCAAAAAAAAAACAAACTTCTATTCAAGGCAACTCCAGAGAAGCGATTATGAAATTAACAAAAAAAACAACAGAAGTAACATCAAAAACGAAAACAAACAGAAACATAAACGGCAAAGCGCAGGAACTGAAAGCTAAGAAGCCGCCACAACATCACAGACGGTCCGCCGCAGCTACGAGAGAGAAAAACACGAGGAAGAGCAGTGGCGACGGCCCCCGGGCCGGCCTGCGCGGGGACCCCTAGTTCCTACCCCTAAATCTTTACGCCATCAGAGCCGTACACGTTGTACCCCTCTCTATAAGTGGCTAAGTTCTGCGCGCTCGGGCTGGGAGCAGGGCTAAAATTCAGTTCTGCCGCTTCCACCTGCATTCGCTTAGCCTCGGCCCGCGACTTATAGCAGAACTCCACCAGCGCCACCAGCATGGCCAGCCCCAGGCCGCCCACCAGGATGTAGAAGACCCCTGCCACGTTGCTCAGGCTAAGCGCCTGGGAGCTCTTGTCCTGGGAGGTTGGAGGACGAGAGAGAGGAGGGGGAAAGAAAAAAACGAGTATTAGAGAGACAGACGGTGGCAAGAAAACTAGACATTTTCATTCAGTCACATCAACATTTACATCATTTACCAACAGTAGAGCTAGGCTAACATTCACGCTAAGCTAGTGCAGTTGTTTAGCTTTACATTGTTCTAGGCTAGTTCTTTTAATTAGCCTTGCATTCATGCTAGGCTAGTGCATTTACCTAGTTTTATATTGTTCTAGGCTAGCACATTTAGCTAGTTTTACATGTGCTAGGCTAGTGCATTTGCCTAGTTGTTCTACGCTAGTAAATAAATTTTTTGTGGGCTAGTACATTTTGCATTCATTCTAGGTGAGAATATTTATCTAGTTTTATTTTGCTCTAGGCTGGTTTATTTTGCTAGGTCATCATTGCTAAGCTAGTGCATTAGTCTAGTTCACATTATTCTAGTCTAGTTCATTTGACTTGCTTATGCTAGACTAGCACATTTGCCTAGCTTAACATTATTCTAGGCTAGTTAATTTTGCTAGTTTTATATGCTACAGTTAGGGTTAGTGTTAGTGCATTTGTCTATTTGTTCTGGGCTGGTAAATTACATTTTTCATGGCTGTAGTGTAACAATCATTGCTAGGCTAGTGCATTTGTCTAATTTTACATTGTTCAAGGCCAGCTAATTTCGCTTATGTTGCACTTATGCTAAGCTATAGCATTTGTCTAGTTTTAAACTGTTTTAGATTAGGTAACTTTTCTAGTTTTACAAAAGCTAGACTAAAGCACTTGTCTAGTTGTCTCGACTAGTTCATTGCATTTTTCATGGCTAGGCTAACAATTATTGCTAAGCTAGTACATTTATCTAGTTTTATATTGCTCTAGGCTGGTTTATTTTTCTTGTTTTGCATTCATGCTAGGCTAGAGCATATGCCTAGTTTTGCATAGTTCTAGGCAAGTTCATTTAGCTAGTTTTACGTATGATAGGCTAGAGGATTTAGTTGTTCTAGGCTAGTTCATTATGTTTTTCATGGCTAGTTTGATAATCATTGCTAAGCTAGTGCATTTGTCTAATTCTGTATTGTTCTAAGGTAGTTGTTTACATTTTTGTTGGCTAGTCTTACAATCATTGGATAACACACTCATGCTGGGCTAGTTCATAGGTTCGTCTTACACGCTAGGGTGGTACATTTGGCTGCTCTTACATTCATGCTAGGCTAGTGCATCAGTCAAGTTCTACTCTGTTACAGGCTAGTTCACTGGGCTAGTTTTCCATTCATGCTAGGTTAAAGCATTTGTCTAGTTTTTCTTCACTAGATCATTTGGTTAGAAACATTCATCTTAGGTTAATGCATAGACTAGTTATACATGCTAGGTTAGTCTGTTCAAGGCGAGTTTGTCTACTTTCACATGTTTCTCTGCTAGTTCATCTGGCTTGTCTTACAGTAAAGCTAGGCTAGTGGCCTGATAATAGTATATGGTAAAACATTTGCTTTAATTAGTCAATTATCATTTTAATTACTCAGTTAAGCATATGTAATAAGTACTTTGCATTGGAGACATGATAGTTTCACTATACATCTACATTGGCTAAAAAGCTCAAAACATCCTTCAGTTTAACACATTTTAAACGGCTTTATTACAATTTAACTGTAATAAAGCGAGAAACTGAAAAAGAAAGTGAAAACAGCAAGAAATAAAAAAATACTAGAAATTAATATTTAACTGAAATCTCTCAATTAGGGTGATTAATTTGTAAGTGCAGCCTCTCTAGTCTATTAGCTACTATTATTTAATGTGGGTGATGCTAATATAGAGACTCAGGCCTGTACTGTTTGAATCTGTGTGAAGTAAACAGAGAAGCACAGAAGTTTATCTGTATCTCTGTTCTTCTGTCTGATGGATGTAATCTGCTGTAATGGTGTAAATTAGTAATTATGTCGCTGCTGTGAAGCATCTCACGGCTAGTAACAGCTGAGTGCATCATTTCCATCTGGCTGCATTAGCTAATACTTCAGCGCGCCGGGCTAATGTGGTGCATTAGTGTGAGGCGCACTCTGCTGCGGTGTCTGAAGCTCCTCTGGACTGCACTGCATTAGCTCAAAAGTCCTCTAATGCTGAGGCCTTTAGCAGCACAGTAGGGCTTGGGAATGTACGTCAGGTTGTGCTGCATTATGGGATCATTCCACCATATTGACAGGGTTCATTCTTTGTTTACATGCTGCACATACTAATTTACACTGTAAGAGTTTAAAGAAATGGCTGTTTTAGGGTGTTTTTCAGTCTTGTAATGCTTTATATTGAATGAAATGAGATGGAAGTACATCTTAACCAACTCCAGAGAGATGCCAAACAACTATATAATGACAAAATCTGCCTTATTGACGGTCTGATCCACACAAACTGATGATCCAAATGAGTGAATGATCTGGACACGCTAACGTCTCCTTCTTCCATTACAAACATTTATTTCACTCCACCAGCAGATTTACCTCAGCTAGTTAGTTTACTAACATCTCTCACTCAGCTACTGGCAGATTTACCTCAGTTAGCTAGCTTAATGACATCTCTCACTCAGCTACCAGCAGATTTAACTCAGTTAGCTAGTTTACTAACATCTCTCACTCAGCTCCCGGCAGATTTACCTTGGTTAGCTAGCTTAGTGACATCTCTCACTCAGCTACTGGCAGATTTACCTTGGTTAGCTAGCTTAGTGACATCTCTCACTCAGCTACCGGCAGATTTACCTCAGTTAGCTAGCTTAGTGACATCTCTCACTCAGCTACTGGCAGATTTACCTCGGTTAGCTAGCTTAATGACATCTCTCACTCAGCTCCCAGCAGATTTACCTCAGTTAGCTAGCTTAGTGACATCTTTCACTCAGCTACCGGCAGATTTACCTCAGTTAGCTAGCTTAGTGACATCTTTCACTCAGCTACCGGCAGATTTACCTCAGTTAGCTAGCTTAGTGACATCTTTCACTCAGCTACCGCAGATTTACCTCAGTTAGCTAGCTTAGTGACATCTCTCACTCAGCTCCCGGCAGATTTACCTCAGTTAGCTAGCTTAGTGACATCTCTCACTCAGCTACTGGCAGATTTACCTCGGTTAGCTAGCTTAGTGACATCTCTCACTCAGCTACCGGCAGATTTACCTTGGTTAGCTAGCTTAATGACATCTCTCACTCAGCTACTGGCAGATTTACCTTGGTTAGCTAGCTTAATGACATCTCTCACTCAGCTCCCAGCAGATTTACCTCAGTTAGCTAGCTTAGTGACATCTCTCACTCAGCTACCGGCAGATTTACCTTGGTTAGCTATCTTAATGAATCTCTCACTCAGCTCCCAGCAGATTTACCTTAGTTAGCTAGCTTAGTGACATCTTTCACTCAGCTACCGGCAGATTTACCTCAGTAAGATAGCTTAGTGACACCTTTCACTCAACTACCGGCAGATTTACCTCAGTTAGTTAGCTTAGTGACATCTTTCACTCAGCTACTGACAGATTTACCTCAGTAAGCTAGCTTAATAGCATTTTTAGATTCAGTTATTAGTTTTATTTACTTAGCCAGTGACAGATTCAACCAGAGAGGATTCATACAATCTTTGACTTTGAAATTTTATTCCATTAAATGCTTCATATGTGCTGCTCACCTACAGCTCCGTCTGAATAGCTGATTAATCCTTCCTTTTGGATCTGTTTTCTTTAGTTTTGATCTGAATTGTGATCCGTTAGTAATGGAGATCCACATACCAGGCATCCCCGCAAACGTATGTAATCAGACCATAAGCTACAGATAAGCCAGAATCAGGGAAATCAGGTAGAAAAGTCTGTTTTTCAACTGTTCTAAACCAGCCTGGACTGACAAACCCTGCCATGATGGCGGACCACCCATAAAACATGAGTATGAGAGTTATGACATCATATTCCAAAGCCCTATACAGAGTGTAACTGGAGCTAGCGTCACGATTGTTGCATAATGCACATGCTAACATTATAGTGGCTCGTTCTGTTGGCTACAACTAAACTGATGTGAATGGAGAAATGATCTACTATCTATTTTTTTAGAAAAAAATGTGCGTAATCTGTAAATATGATGGCACGCAAAAAGATTTTCAATCAGCTAAAACAAAGCTTAGCAATCCACTTCCACTGTAGGCCTATATGGTAACATTACAGTGGCTCATATCTTTGAGAAAGATATTTAAATAGGAAAATGGAAACAGTATTTGTTATGAAAAATGAAATTATGTAAAAATGACGATACAGGAAAGAGTTTTCACCCGTAGCTTAGGAAAACGTAGCAACATTACAGTGGTTTACACTATTGTCTGAAATATAATAAATGGGAAGTGGTAGGGGAAAATGATTTTGGATTTATTTGGGAAAAAATTAGATTATGACATATTCTGTACCATCAGCTAAGCTCAGGAAGACTTAGCACCCCACTTTAAGAGCATGAAGTTTGAAAGTTCTTGTTTATATCTTGTTTTCAGAGCAAAATTTTATTTTATTTTTTTTTCTGTCGGCCCCGGAGACTGACCTTACTTCCCGAGTCCTTGGGTCCACATTCCCCTTTATCGTACCACCACTTGTTTTTCAGTTTGTCTAAGACTCCTGCTTCACTCAGTTTCAAAACTGCAAGGTTTACCGGGGTTCTTCACCAGGGGGAATAACATAAATAACATCATAGGACATGTTATTTTATGTTATTAGATAAGCAGTCATAACTTGGCACAGATAAACAGTAAGTGACGGAGCGAGGGTCCCACGGTAAACACACGTTTACCTGTCTGTGTGGGACCCCCCTCCAAATCACTTCATGTAAAAGGCACGTTCTGCCACGCTGGAATAAATAAACTCAGACAAACACGTGCGTTACTGTTAACACAGAACCAACGAATCAAATGAATCAAATGATTAAAATCTTTTGTAGCTTCTACATTCTTAAAAAAGATTCAAGGGTTCTTTAGTAAAGGCAATGGATCTATTTAGAACAAAGAGTTCTATATAAAACTATTTCATGCTTATATGGTTCTTTTGTATGATGTTATGGTTCTTCAGATTGATGGAGTATGTGTTCTATATAGCATATATATATATATATATATATATATATATATATATATCCTTCCTGGATCGGGGCCTTGTCGTGGCGGAAGGGCTTGTGTGGTCTAGGGATCTTCAGAGCTAAGTCGTCGGGAGCAACATGCTCCTGGTAGGGTCTCCCAGGGCGAACAGGTCTGGAGTGAAGACCCAGACTAACTCGATCCAAAAACCTCCATGATAAACGGACACAGAACATTGTGTACCCTGCCCGGGAGACGGTCACCGGGACCTACCCCTGGAGCCAGGCCTGGGGGTAGCGTCCCTCGGCGAGCGCCTGGTGGCCGGGCAGCCCACGTAACCCGGCCGGGCTCAGCCCGAAGAGGCAACGTGGGGGGACCATGTGGGCCCACCACCCGCAAGGTCCAGCATGGGGGAGTGGTGCAGTGCCGTACAGGCAGTGGGAGATTGCAGGGGGGCCCTTGGTGGCCTAGGCCCCTGCGGCAGAAACTGGCTCTTGGTACGTGGAATGTAACCTCACTGGGGGGGAAGGAGCCGGAGCTTGTGCGGGAGGTTGAGAGGTACCAACTAGATATAGTTGGGCTCACCTCCACCCACAGTATCGGCTCTGGAACCAAACTCCTGGATAGGGGTTGGTCCCTCTCTTTCTCCGGGGTTGCACAAGGTGAGAGGCGTCGGGCAGGTGTGGGGATACTCACGAGTCCCCGGCTGGCGGCAGTGCAGTTGGAGTTTGTCCCGGTGGACGAGAGGGTCGCCTCAATGCGTATTAAAATCGCAGAGAGGAAAACTCTGACTGTTGTGTGTGCTTATGCACCAAACAACAGGTCGGAGTATTCTGCTTTCTTGGAGCAAGTGGGCGGGGTTCTGGAAAGGGTCCCGCCTACAGACTCCATAGTCTTACTGGGAGACTTCAATGCTCATGTTGACAATGACTGGGAGACCTGAAGAGGCGTGATTGGGAAGAACGGCCTGCCCGATCTAAAACCGAATGGTGAATTGTTATTGGACTTCTGTGCCAGGCATGGATTGTCCATAACACCAAGTTCAAACACAAGGATGTTCATAAGTGTACATGGTACCAGAGCTCCTTGGGTCAAAGGTCAATGATTGACTTTGTTGTCGTTTCATCTGACTTGGGACCATATGTTCTGGACACTCGGGTGAAGAGAGGTGCTGAGCTGTCAACTGATCACCATCTGGTGGTGAGTTGGATCAGATGGCAGGGAAGACTGAGGGTTAGACCCGGTAGGCCCAAGCGAATAGTGAGGGTGTGCTGGGAACGACTGTCGGAGGCCCCTGTTCGGAATGATTTTAACTCCCACCTCCGGGAGAGCTTTTCTCATGTCCCGGAGGAGGTAGGGGACATAGAGTCTGAATGGACCCTGTTCAAAATCTCCATTGTGGAAGCTGCCAGGCATAGCTGTGGCCAAAAGCTTGTTGGTGCCTGTCATGGCGGTAACCCAAGAACCCCCTGGTGGACACCGGTGGTGAGGGAGGCCATCAAGCTGAAGAAAGAGGCCTTTAGGGACTGGATGGCCCGAAGGACTCCCGATTCAGCAGATAGGTACCGACAGGCAAAAAAGGTGGCAGCTGCAACGGTGGCAGAAGCAAAATCCAGGGCGTGGGAGGAGGTGAGGCCATGGAAAAAGACTTTTGGTCGGCCTCGAGGAGGTTCTGGACAACTGTCCGGCAACTCAGGAGCGGTCGGGGTGGCTGCGCCCAGGCTGTATTCAGCAGGGGTGGAGAAACTCTGACTTCAAATGAGGATATTGTCGGTCGGTGGAAAGAGCACTTTGAGGAACTCCTTAATCTGGGAGACATGCCTCCCTCACAGGAGTCAGGGCCAGAGGCCTCTGGCGTGTCAAGCTCCATTTCCCTGGTGGAGGTCACTGAGGTAGTTGGCAAGCTCTTCAGTGGCAAGGCACCGGGGGTGGATGAGATTCGTCCGGAGATGCTTAAGGCTCTGGATATTGTGGGGCTGTCGTGGCTGACATGCCTCTGCAATAGTGCATGGACCTCGGGAACAGTACCCTTGGACTGGCAGACCGGGGTGGTGGTCCCTATTTTCAAGAAAGGGGACCGGAGGGTGTGTGCCAACTATCGGGGTATCACACTGCTCAGCCTCCCTGGGAAAGTCTATGCCAAGGTGCTGGAAAGGAGACTTCGACCGATAGTTGAACCTCAGATTGAGGAGGAACAATGCGGATTCCGTCCTGGCCGTGGAACAATGGACCAGCTTTTCACCCTCTCACAGATTGTTGCAACAAGCGGCAGAAATGAGCTTTCTTCGCAGGGTGGCGGGCTACACTCTATTTGATAGGGTGAGGAGCTCGGCCATCCGGGAGGAGCTCGGAGTAGAGCCGCTACTCCTCCGCATTGAGAGGAGCCAGCTGAGGTGGTTCAGGCATCTGATCCGGATGCCCCCTGGACGCCTCCCGGTGGGGGTGTACCAGGCACGGCCTACCGGAATAAGACCCCGGGGTCGTCCTAGGACCCGCTGGAGGGATTATATCTCCAAGTTGGCCTGGGAGCGGCTTAGGGTCCCCGGGAATGAGCTGGAGGAAGTTGCGGGGGACAGGGTCATCTGGGATTCTCTGCTCTCCCAACTGCTACCGCGACCCTATCTGGACTAAGTGGTTAACGATGATGATGATGATGATTATATATATTTATATATATATATATATATATATATATGCTCTAGAACCCATTCTAACAACACATTCTCCATCAGTCCAACTGTTTTACAATGCAAAGAACCATTTAAGCTTAAACATAGAACTTATGGTTCTAACCATTATTTTTTTTTACTAAAGAACCCTTAAAGAACCATAGTTTTAAGTGTGTATGCAATGTTTACATCTTTGATACTGTTCTTACAGGCTGTTATAGGTAACTTAACCTCATAAAATCACACCATGATTCACTTTTTGATCCCCAAACATTGCCAATGGAATGCAGCAACATCAGACTCATGGATGAATTGATTCTTTTGATTCTTTTCAATAAATCTGATTAACCAATTAACAAGTACAGCCAAACAAACAGTCTGTACCATCTGTGCAATGTTTACTCTCACGTGTTTGAATCAATCTCTGATCACCATCTGAATCACTGAATCAGTTCGGAAAACGTGACTCAAAATTCATTTCCAAAGAATTGGTTTGGTGTAAGTGAATCAATTTTTTTGGCTCCACTTCGATAAATCATTCAATCAAACATTTGATTTATTCATTCGCATGGTAGAACTGATTCAAACTTCCCCTTAGTACTACAGTGTGTAAAACACATGATTTGAAAGAATCAGTTTATAAAAATCAATCAAACTTTCCATTGTTACTGTGATGTGAATCATTGAGTTGGATCTTTGATTCCTTAATTTGGACAATTTGTGAGAATTAGTCCAACAGGACTGACACAAACTAGCCCATTGTTATTGAGATAAGAATCATTAAATTGAATGTTGAGTCACTGTAATGCATGATTCGAAAGAATCAGTTCATAAAAATCAGTCAAACGTTCCATTGTCACTGTAATGTGAATCATTGAATTGGACCGTTGATTCATTAATTTGGACAGGTTAGGAGAATGAGTTCAACAGGACTGACTCAGACTGGTCCATTATTATCATGATGTGAATCACTGAATCGAATGTCTGAGTCACTGTAATGCATGATTCGAACAAATCAGCTTGTAAAACTGAATCAAACTGTCCATCCCTGAGATATGAATCACTGAGGTGGACGGTCTGAAAGAATCAGTTTGGTAAAATCAAATAAAACATTCACAAATCCAAATCTTCACCCTGCTTGCCCTCTTCGTTGTCTGTGCTGCTCTGTTGCCCCCTTAGGGCCGGAGGGTGAGCGTACAGGCGGTGAGTGTTTCTGTTTTAACAGTAACTGCCCTTTTCTCTGTGTTCTGGTCAGCGAGGCATCTGATTGGGTTCGCTGTGGTCAGGGTTGCCGTGGCAGAAGTCTCTTTTACGTGACAGACTTTTTTTTCCTCTCTCTCTTTTCGTTACCGCTCTCTTGCGTGACACGGTGGCTAACCTTGGAGTCCCCGCCCCCGCTGCCACACTCCCCTTTGTCGTACCACCATTTATTTTTCAATTTGTCCAACAGGCCTTGTTCATTCAGCTTTAGCACAGCCAGGTTCACTGCGTTTCTTCAGTGCAGCACACGCACAGGCACACGCGCACGCACACGCACACACAGGGGGAGAGGGGACACTCATGGACGGAGACGGAGGACAGGAGGAAAGAGAAAGGGACGGGGTGGAGGAGAGGAGGACGAGGGGACACAAAAGAAAAAGGAGGAGAGACGAGAATGAAAATCGGAAAAGGAAGGAAGCTCAGTTAGTGAAACGTGCTGAAAGATGGCTCTCTGTTCTCTCTCTCTCTCTCTCTGTCCCTTCCTCTCTCTCTGTTCTCTCTCCCTCTCTCTGTCTCTGTTCTCTTCCTCTCTCTCTCTGTTCTCTCTCTCTCTCTCTGTTCTCTTCCTCTCTCTTTTTCTCTTTCACTCTCACCTCTCTCTATCCTTTCTTTCTCTCTTTTACACTTTTTACTCTCTCACTTTCCTTTTCTCAGAGACATACAGAGAGAAAGAGAGAGAGAGAGAGAGAGAGAGAAAGAGAGAGAGAGAAAGAGAATAAGTGTCTCTCTCTCTCTCCTCTGCAGAGGAGGAGTCAAATAGCTCCAGACGGGGGAAGTGTGCGGGGGGTGGTGGGGGGGAGACTTGGAGTGTGAGTGGCATTTTAAACACACACACCCACACACACACACACTTTGTTTCTGTAAATTGTGGGGACACTACATAGACTTCCATTCATTTCCTGGAGACCCAAACCAGAACTAGTACTGACCGTAACCTTAAACATGTATTTAAATAGAACAATGATGACCAGCCTGTGGTCCCCACAAAGAAGAAAGGTCCCCACAGATGAGTGTATAAACAGATTTTGGTCCCCACACCGTGGCATAAACACACACACACACTCACACTCAGAGGGGATTTTAAATGCCACTAAAATGTCCTTCTTTAAGCTGGAAAGTCTCCAGCGTCACTGAGGCTGAATGAGCTGAATCTGCTCTCTGCTGAAGGAGAAAGAAAGGATGTTGTGATGAAAAAGGCTTTTTCTGTACGAGGTCGTCTGTGTGTAAGCGTCTCTCTGTGGGTCAGAAATCTGTCTGCTGTGGCGGCTAATCTGCTCTCTGTGTTTGTGCCCGAGAGAAATGTGGGCTCTTTTTTTGAGGGCCTTTTTTATTTTATACAATAATTATGGAAATAAAGCACAAACGCAAAGATACATTTCTGTAGAGCTGTGTGACTGTAGGGCTGTATTTCTGTAGGGCTGTAAGACTGGACAGCTGTATTTCTACATAGCTATTTGAGTGTAGGGCTGTATTTCTTGAGGGCTGCAAGACTGTAGAGCTGTATTTCTGTATAGCTATTTGACTGTAGGGCTGTGTGACTGTAGAATTGTATTTCTGTAGGGCTGTAAGACTGGACAGCTATATTTCTACATAGTTATTTGACTGTAGGGCTGTATTTCTTGAGGGCTGTGTGACTGTAGGGCTGTGTGACTGTAGGCTGTATTTCTATATAGCTATTTGACTGTAGGGCCGTATTTCTACATAGCTATTTGACTGTAGGACTGTATTTCTTGAGGGCTGCAAGACTGTAGAGCTGTATTTCTGTATAGCTATTTGACTGTAGGGACTGTAAGACTGTATAACTGTATTTCTGTAGGGCTGTAAGACTGGACAGCTATATTTCTACATAGCTATTTGACTGTAGGGCTGTATTTCTTGAGGGCTGTGTGACTGTAGGGCTGTATTTCTGTATAGCTATTTGACTGTAGGGCTGTGTGACTGTAGGGCCGTATTTCTACATAGCTATTTGACTGTAGGGCTGTATTTCTTGAGGGCTGTGTAACTGTAGGGCTGTATAGCTATTTGATTATTTCTGTATAGCTATTTGACTGTAGGGCTGTTTTCCTGTATAGCTGTTTGACTGCAGAACTGTGTGACTGTAGGGCTGTTGTCCTGTATGACTGTAGGGCTGTACTTCTATATAATTGTAGGGCTATATTTCTGTAGAGCTGTATGACTGTAGAGTTGTATGATCGCAAGACTGTATGACTGTAGGGCTGTATTCCTGTAGGGCTGTGTGACTGCAGAGCGGTACTCATGTAAGGCTGCATGATTGCAGGACTGTATTTCTGTATAGCTGTATGTCTGTAGCGCTGTATGACTGTAGGGTTGTATGACTGTAGGGCTGTATTCCTGTAGGGCTGTAATATTGCAGGACTGTATTTCTGTATAGCTGTATGTCTGTACGGCTGTATTCCTGTCAGGGCTGTAATATTGCGGGACTGTATTTCTATATAGCTGTATGTCTGTAGGGCTGCACTACTGTAGGGTTTAACTCCTGTAGGGCTGTATGATGGCAGGACTGTATTTCTGTAGCGCTGTAGGACTGCATGATTGTTTTTCTGTAGGACTGTATTACTGTAAGGCCGTGCTACTTTAGGGCTGTATATCAGATGGTTTGTAAAGCTATAGCGTGTTGAAGAAAGCCGCAGTGTTTGGTAGCTTTGCTTTATAGCTGGCCTGTATGTGCGTGTGCAGGTGAGATGGTCATTTTTTGTATTCCTCTCTCGTCCCATCTGCCTGCTGCAGTGCTCAGGGTATAATCTGTAATCGCTCTCTCTCTCTCTCTCTCTCTCTCTCTCTCTCTCCCCTCCCTTCTTCATTCACGCTCCATCTCTCCTATTCATTCTTCCTTTGTCTGCCCTCGTGTTGGTTCCCTCTCTCGTTAATCACAGTCAGGCTGATCCCACACAGTAACCCGCCGCTCGCGCTGCATCTGACGCTCATTCTCAGCCGACGTGTTTGCGTGGGCAGCAGCGCGTGTTATCTGTCCTGTTATTAAAGGATCTCTAAGGCGCTGTTCTCTGTAGTGGAACTCCGGTTCTATGAGCTCTGTGCGTGTGCAGACTGCAGTAATAAGCCATAACACGAGAGGATTAACTTCAATAGTTTAATTAACAGCGAGCAATCATCCTCACTAGGCTCCGCCCATAAACGTGTTCCTTCTGTAGCTGCTGTTGTGATGTTGGGTAAGATATAGAACGCTGGTAATCACAATATCTACACTCTTTAACAAGATCAAGGGTTCTTTAGTTAAGAGAGTGGTTCTGTATAGAACCATGAACACTCAAAGAACCATTTGCAGGATTAAATGGCTCTTTGCATGGTGAAATTTTTCTGCAGATTGGTGGAGAATGTGTCGTATATGGTTCTGTACAGCATCAAAAAGGGTTCTTCTACTGCTATAATGTCAAGCTTGTAACAATAGAAGAACCTTTTTCATACTATAAAGAACCATATTCCAACAGCGTGAGGAACCATTTCACCATGCACAGAACCAATTAATCATGTAAAGGGTAGGTACTGTTCTACAGTTTCTCATTAGGTTGAATGAATAACTGACTCTAAATGTAGGTATTGTGATATAAACTGAGTCTGTTCTACAGTTTCTCATTAGGTTGAATGAATAATCGACTCTAAATGTAGGTATTGTGATATAAACTGAGTCAGAAGGTTGGATTGGATTTTTATCAGCCTCACAACAGTAGCTACAAAAGAAGCTACTGGGCGGAGCCTGGAGAGGGAGATCAGTGTGCTTTATGCTAAAATGTAACACACACACACACAAACACACACACACACACACACACATGGGGTATGAAAAGAATAACACTTCACGAAAGAGTGATGGGGAAAACAGAGAAGGGAGAAAGAGAGGGAAAGAGAGAGAGACAGAGTGAGAGAGAGAGCTATCCTTGCTGCTGTGCTGTATTAACTGATCTGACTGAGTAAAACATCAGAAGGAAAACAATGATTGTTTATAAAGAAAAAAGAAATGAATAGAGAGAGAGAGAGTGAGAGAGAGAGAGAGAGAGAGAGAGAGAGTGAGAGAGAGAGAGAGAGAGAGAGAGAGAGAGAGGTGGTATCTCTGCAGTCTTCTTCTCCACACAGTCTAACAAACTCCAACTCGCTCCTCATTAAGCGCTCACACTGAACCTTCTCCTCCTCCAGCTCTTCAACACAGAGAGGATCTGTTTACCTCCAAGACCAAACCATCACCTGAGACCTGTTACAGCACCGAGTCTCAGTTCAGGCCCTGTGATCTACTCTCACAGGCCACTTTATTAGAAACACCCACCTCCTGCTTCCACTAACTGGCCACTTTAATTAGAAACTCCCACCTTCTGCCTCCACTAACTGGCCACTATATTAGAAACACCCACTTTCTACTTCCACTAACTGGCCACTTTATTAGAAACACCCACCTTCTGCCTCCACTAACTGGCCACTTTATTAGAAACACCCACTTTCTACTTCCACTGACTGGCCACTTTATTAGAAACACCCACCTCCTGCTTCCACTAACTGGCCATTTTATTAGAAACACCCACTTTCTACTTCCACTAACTGGCCACTTTATTAGAAACACCCACCTTCTAGTTCCACTAACTGGCCACTTTATTAGAAACGCCCACCTTCTGCTTCCACTAACTGGCCACTTTATTAAAAACACCCACCTTCTGCCTCCACTAACTGGCCACTTTATTAGAAACACCCACCTCCTGCTTCCACTAACTGGCCACTTTATCTTAAACTCCCCACTGTACAGCACTACAGAAGTACTTGAACTAAGACACAGTGTTATGCAGGGAACTGCTGTTACACTGCTTTCTCCAGCAGAGGGAGCTCTTACCACATCTACTTCAGTGACAGGTGATTGTGGAGAATGTTTAATAGCTGATTTAAGCCTTAAAGATAGACAGAGCCAGAGCAGGGTGAGAGAGAGAGAGAGAGAGAGAGGTAGAGAGAGAGAGAGAGAGAGAGGGAGAGGGAGAGAGAGAGAGTGAGAGGGAGAGAGAGAGAGAGAGAGGGAGAGAGAGAGAGGGAGAGAGAGAGAGGGAGAGGGAGAGAGAGAGAGAGAGATAGAGGAAGAGAGAGAGAGTCAGAAAGAGAGAGAGAGTCAGGAAGAGAGAGGGAGAGAGAGAGAGAGCGAGAGAGAGAGTGAGGAAGGGAAAGAGAGGGAGAGTAGAGAGAGAGAGAGAGAGAGAGACAGAGAGAGAGAGTGAGAGAGAGAGACAGAGAGAGAGAGAACGAGAGAGAGCGAGAGAGCTGTGGGTTTGTATGTTTACCTGATGCTGGTCCTGTAAAGGAAACAGAGATTAACACACACTGCGGTGTTCATACAGCATGCAGTGAGAAACAGATCCACAGAAGCTCCGCCCACTTTCATTATTAACATCATTTTTCATTATTTGTGCATATTAAACTGACCTTTGACCTTACATGTGGAGTATAACACCCTCTTCAAAATAAAGGTGCAAAAGTGTTCTTTAGAGCAGCGGTTCTCAAATCGGTCCTCAGGAACCCCAGACGGTCCACATTTTTGCTCCAACTCAACTTAGAACACGACCACAGAGCGAAAATGTTGGCTGAGGTCCGGTTTGAGAACCACTGATTTAGAGCTGTAGAAGAACCACTTTTGGTTTTCTGAACGGAGGGTTCTTTAAGAACCACTCTTTAAAATAAAGGTGCCAAAAAGGGTTCCTTTAGAGTGATGCCAGAGAAGAACCACTTCATTAAAGAACCTTTTAAAGGGTGGTTCTTTAAAGAATCACTCGTAAAAATTAAGGTGGCAAAAAGGGTTCTTTCGAGCGACGCCATGTAAGAACCACTTTTGGTTCCATAAAAAACCTTTCAATGCAGGGTTCTTTAAGAACCACTCTTTAAAATAAAGCAACCAGAAAAGGGTTCTTTTGGTGTAATGCCAGAGAAGACCTACTTGTGTTTTAATAACGAATCTTTCATTGGAGGGTTCTTTGAGAACCGCTTTTTAAAATAAAGGTGACAAAAAGAGTTATTTGGAGCGACGCCATGGAAGAACCATTTTTGGTTCCCTAATAAACCGTTCAATGGATGGTTATTTAAAGAACCACTCTTCAAGGGTTCTTTGGAGCAACGCCATTGGCGATCCACTAATGAAATGTGTAAAGAATCTCCACACAGATTAATAAACCTTTTATACCAGTTAGAAAAGTATATCCAAGCAAAGAACGCATTAAGAACCTTTATTTTTACAGTGAATGTTTACAGGAACCGTTCTCAGTGCTCACCACTCTGAGGCTGTGGGTGGAGCTGAACTGAATGGGTGGGGCCAAACTGCCGTAGGCTGAATGGGTGGAGCTAAAAAGCCATAGGCAGAATGGTGGGGTTGAAAAGCTGTAGGCTGAATGGGTGGAGCTAAACTGCTGTAGGCTAAATGGGTGGGGCTAAACTGCCATAGGCTGAATGGGTGGGGCTAAAAAGCCGTAGGCCGAATGGGTGGAGCTAAACTGCCGTAGGCTGAATGGTGGAGCTAAACTGCTGTAGCTGAATGGTGGAGCTAAACTGCTGTAGCTGAATGGTGGAGCTAAACTGCTGTAGACTGAATGGTGGGGCTAAACTGCTGTAGCTGAATGGTGGAGCTAAACTGCTGTAGACTGAATGGTGGAGCTGAACTGCTGTAGCTGAATGGTGGAGCTAAACTGCTGTATGCTGAATGGTGGGGCTAAACTGCTGTAGACTGAATGGTGGAGCTAAACTGCTGTAGCTGAATGGTGGAGCTAAACTGCTGTAGACTGAATGGTGGGGCTAAACTGCTGTAGCTGAATGGTGGGGCTAAACTGCTGTAGCTGAATGGTGGAGCTAAACTGCTGTAGCTGAATGGTGGAGCTAAACTGCTGTAAGTTGAATGGTGGAGCTAAACTGCTGTAGGCTGAGTGGGTGGGGCTAAACTGCTGTAGGCTGAATGGGTGGAGCTAAACTGCTGTATGCTGAATGGGTGGGGCTAAACTGCTGTAGCTGAATGGTGGAGCTAAACTGCTGTATGCTGAATGGGTGGGGCTAAACTGCTCTAGACTGAATGGGTGGAGCTAAACTGCTGTAGCTGAATGGTGGGGCTAAACTGCTGTAGCTGAATGGTGGAGCTAAACTGCTGTAGCTGAATGGTGGAGCTAAACTGCTGTAGACTGAATGGTGGGGCTAAACTGCTGTAGACTGAATGGTGGAGCTAAACTGCTGTAGCTGAATGGTGGAGCTAAACTGCTGTAGACTGAATGGTGGGGCTAAACTGCTGTAGACTGAATTGTGGAGCTAAACCGCTGTAGCTGAATGGTGGAGCTAAACTGCTGTAGCTGAATGGTGGAGCTAAACTGCTGTAGCTGAATGGTGGGGCTAAACTGCTGTAGCTGAATGGTGGGGCTAAACTGCTGTAGCTGAATGGTGGAGCTAAACTGCTGTAGACTGAATGGTGGGGCTAAACTGCTGTAGCTGAATGGTGGGGCTAAACTGCTGTAGCTGAATGGTGGGGCTAAACTGCTGTAGCTGAATGGTGGAGCTAAACTGCTGTAGCTGAATGGTGGAGCTAAACTGCTGTAGACTGAATGGTGGAGCTAAACTGCTGTAGACTGAATGGTGGGGCTAAACTGCTGTAGCTGAATGGTGGAGCTAAACTGCTGTAGCTGAATGGTGGAGCTAAACTGCTGTAGACTGAATGGTGGAGCTAAACTGCTGTAAGTTGAATGGTGGAGCTAAACTGCTGTAGCTGAATGGTGGAGCTAAACTGCTGTAGCTGAATGGTGGGGCTAAACTGCTGTAGCTGAATGGTGGAGCTAAACTGCTGTAGCTGAATGGTGGAGCTAAACTGCTGTAAGTTGAATGGTGGAGCTAAACTGCTGTAGCTGAATGGTGGAGCTAAACTGCTGTAGGCTGAATGGGTGGAGCTAAACTGCTGTATGCTGAATGGGTGGGGCTAAACTGCTGTAGCTGAATGGTGGAGCTAAACTGCTGTATGCTGAATGGGTGGGGCTAAACTGCTCTAGACTGAATGGGTGGAGCTAAACTGCTGTAGACTGAATTGTGGAGCTAAACTGCTGTAGCTGAATGGTGGAGCTAAACTGCTGTAGCTGAATGGTGGGGCTAAACTGCTGTAGCTGAATGGTGGAGCTAAACTGCTGTAGCTGAATGGTGGAGCTAAACTGCTGTAGACTGAATGGTGGGGCTAAACTGCTGTAGACTGAATGGTGGAGCTAAACTGCTGTAGCTGAATGGTGGAGCTAAACTGCTGTAGACTGAATGGTGGGGCTAAACTGCTGTAGACTGAATTGTGGAGCTAAACCGCTGTAGCTGAATGGTGGAGCTAAACTGCTGTAGCTGAATGGTGGAGCTAAACTGCTGTAGCTGAATGGTGGAGCTAAACTGCTGTAGCTGAATGGTGGAGCTAAACTGCTGTAGACTGAATGGTGGGGCTAAACTGCTCTAGCTGAATGGTGGGGCTAAACTGCTGTAGCTGAATGGTGGAGCTAAACTGCTGTAGCTGAATGGTGGAGCTAAACTGCTGTAGACTGAATGGTGGAGCTAAACTGCTGTAGCTGAATGGTGGGGCTAAACTGCTGTAGCTGAATGGTGGAGCTAAACTGCTGTAGGCTGAATGGGCAGGGCTAAAGTGTTGTGGGCTGAATGAGTGAGGCCAAACTGCTGTAGGCTGAAGGGTGGAGCTAAAGTGCTGTAGGCTGAATGGGTGGGGCCAAACTGCCGTAGGCTGAATGGGCGGGGCTAAACGGCTGTAGGCTGAATGGGCGGGGCTAAACTGCCGTAGGCTGAATGGGCAGGGCTAAAGTGCTGTAGGCTGAATGGGCAGGGCTAAAGTGTTGTGGGCTGAATGGGTGAGGCCAAACTGCTGTAGGCTGAAGGGGCGGGGCTAAAGTGCTGTAGGCTGAATGGGTGGGGCCAAACTGCCATAGGCTGAATGGGCAGGGCTAAACTGCTGTAGGCTGAATGGGCGGGGCTAAACTGCCGTAGGCTGAATGGGCAGGGCTAAAGTGCTGTAGGCTGAATGGGCAGGGCTAAAGTGCTGTGGGCTGAATGGGCAGGGCTAAAGTGTTGTGGGCTGAATGGGTGAGGCCAAACTGCTGTAGGCTGAAGGGGCGGGGCTAAAGTGCTGTAGGCTGAATGGGTGGGGCCAAACTGCCGTAGGCTGAATGGGCAGGGCTAAACTGCTGTAGGCTGAATGGGCGGGGCTTACCTGTGGGGACAATGAACTTAATTAACAGTGACCGAAACAGTGAGTTCTGCTCTCTGTCAGAGTGAGAGAGCAGCACTTAGAGGAACCTGCACCCACTCACTACTGAGAACAGAAGGAAGGACAGACTGAAATAAAGAGAAAACAGAAAGAGAGAGAAAAGGAGAGAGAGGGGGGAGAGGGAGAAAGAGACAGTGAACGAGGGAGAGAAAGAGTGAGAGAGAAAGAAAGAGTGAGAGATGGAGGGAGAGAAAGAGAAAGTGTTAGAAAGAGAGAGAGAGAGAGAGAGAGAGGAAGGGAGAAAAAAGGAGAGAGAGGGGGAGAGGGAGAAAGAGAAAGTTAACGAGGGAGAGAGTGAGTGAGAAAGAGAGAGAAAGAGAAAGAGCGAGAGATGGAGGGAGAGAAAGAGTGAGAGAGAGAAACAGAGAGAAAACAGAAAAACAGAAAGAGAGAGAGGGCGAGCGAGCGAGGTAGAGGCTCAGTAGGGTAGATGGAATACTATAACAGCTCAGTTATAAAGCTATTATAACCGCCAGGTGTTATAATACTCCACCCACCTTAGCTGCGAGCCTTTGGGCGTGGCCACTCCATATCCCTTGGAGTCCAGGTTCCCTCCGACCTTCATGGTATCGCAGGGCTTCCTCTGCTCCGTGTACTCGTTCATGGTGGATTCCAGCAGGAAGGCGTACTTCCCCTTCGACTTCCTGACCCGCGCCACGCCCTCAGCCGTCGTCTTCGTGAAGACGCTCGGTTCCGCCGACTTCATGTACGCCCACATCTTCTCATACACAGCGATCTTCGACCTCTGGGGGGCAGCAGTGAGGGGGGCAGGGGGAGGGGCAGGTTACTGCAGTGCTTTAGCTTTAGCTACGAGGCTAATGTGGCTAAAAAAACAATGGAAGCTTATAGACAATTATTAGCGTCAGTTAGCATCACCTGTTTATAGCCAGTCTTGAAGTAAAGGATTAGAACCCATGGTTTTGCGTTCTAATGTGAATTAGCTTAATGGGTCCCATTGGAGAACACTAGTTTCCTGTAGAACACCTTTAGATCCCATTAGGAACCCATTAGCTGAATCTGGAATCAGAACACCTGTTAAACCATTAGAGTCCTTTACACTCTAATATCAACCATTTTGGAAAACACAAGACTCCTGGACACCACTAGGAACCAGCAGAACCCTTTAATAGGTTCTACTTTTAATTTTTAGTAGGCTTTTTTCAGTAGGTTTCTGCTGTTGCCCTGGGACACGGATGACGTAAGACAGGAACCGTATCACTTTCATCACTTTGACATTAATAGACATGCTCCATGCTTTCAAGCTAGCTACACTCTTAAAAAGGATGGTTCTCAAGGGTTCTTCAGTAACAACGCCGATTCTATATAGAATCATGAACACTCAAAGAACCCTTTGCGGGCTTAAATGTTTCACTTCATGGTGAAATGGTTCTTGAGATTGATGGAGAATGTGTTGTAGATGGTTCTGTGTAGCACCAAAAAGAGTTCTGCTATTGTACTGATGTCAAGCTTGTGGCAATTGAAGAACGCTTTTTGGTGCTAAACAAAACCTTTTTCAAAAAGGTTCTATGTAAAACAATGTACAACACATTCTCCATCAATCTGAAGAACCATTTCACCCTACAGAGAACCATTTAAGCATGCAAACGGCTCCTTGAGCGTTCATGGTTCTATAGACCCATTGTCTTTACTAAAGAACCCTTGGAGAACCGTTTTTTTAAGAGTGTAACTCTGGCTGACTGCAGTGGATACAGTCAGCTAAAATAGCTGTGAGACTGAACTAATTGTCGAAATCTCCCCCATCAGGAGATCAGGAGTTTGATCCCCGGTGATGCCACAGCATCAGGAGGTCCATGAGAGCCTAACTGTCCTCTCGCTCTCTCTGGGTGGGTCGAGTGGTCCTCCTTATCCCCCCAGCACTCAGCGTGATGGTAGCCAGCACAGGCGTCTGTTGGCTGGCGTAACAGAATTAGCAGTTAGTGTTCTCCTGCAAGCGTGTTGAGCTCCAGTGACGTTGCGTTTAGTGCATTTAGTTTGGAAAGATGTGGTGGAGCTTGGAGGAGCTCACGCTGGTCCTCACCCTCCCAGCTACCATGCCCTTTTCCCGTTCCACCTTAAATCATGCGGCAGTTCCAATCTGGCGCCCAAAACGTACCTCACGCAAGGACGCGAATGCAGACTTCCAGCTACACAGACGGGGTTTCACATGTCGTTATGTTCATAAATGTCTACGACATTTCATAATGCACTTCTGAGTGTTTTACAGCAGGGGGCGCTGTAACAACAGCCAAGCCTGTCCAAGCGGTCTCAGACCACCGGCATGTTTCTCAACTGCAGACGAGCAGCTGAGTCTCACGCAAAGAAACCTTACATAAACATAAACATATGATCCATTATGGCCTTTCATTCCAGCAGGAGAGGCAAAGCAGCTCACTCTGCTCCACTGTCCACCTTTAGCTGCTGGGGCTGTTGGAGCAACAGTAGATCCTCTGTATTTGTCCTCTAGCGCCCCCTTCAGTACTGAGTGTTTTAACCGCCACAGCAATGTAAGGATGCACGGTGAGTTTGTACGGAAGGGCTGAGCGTGGAACAGGAAAATTTGAACAAGGAGCTGAGGCGGCGGAATGTAACTGCTGCACTATTTAAGGTGGAACGGAGAAATTTGACCAAGAAGCTGAGGCACTGGAATGTAACTGCTGCACCATTTAAGGTGGAATGGGAAAATCTGACCAAGAAACTGAGCCGCCAGAATGTAACTGCTGCACTATTTAAGGTGGAACGGGAAAATTTGACCAAGGAGCTGAGGCGCCTGAATGGAACTGCTGCACCATTTAAGGTGGAATGGGAAAATTAGAACAAGAAGCTGAGGCACCAGAATGTAACTGCTGCACCATTTAAGGTGGAATGGGGAAATTTATACAAGGAGCTGAGGTGCCGGAATGTAGCTGCTGCACCATTTAAGGTGGAATGGGAAAATTTGACCAAGGAGCTGAGGCGCCGGAATGTAGCTGCTGCACCATTTAAGGTGGAACAGGGAAATTTATACAAGGAGCTGAGGTGCCAGAATGTAACTGCTGCACTATTTAAGGTGGAATGGGAAAATTTGACCAAGAAACTGAGGCACCAGAGTGTAACTGCTGCACCATTTAAGGTGGAATGGGAAAATTCAAACAAGAACCTGAGTCGCCTGAATGTATGTGCTGCACCATTTAAGGTGGAATGGGAAAATTTGACCAATATGCTGAGCCGTCAGTGTGATAGAGGGTTAGAGGGTGTGATAGAGGGATACCTAGATAACGGGGGGGGCTGTACATGACTACACTGGGCAGAAAGCCCTCCCTTCCAAAAAAATAAATACAAAGATAAAAGGTAAAGATGAAGCAATGCATCTGCACTGTTCACTGTAGCGATTAGTGGCATTAACGGTACTCTGTGCAGGGCTGTATCTAATAACAGTGTAATTTCATGCATGGGGTGTGATATCTACTGCAGTGTGTGTGTGTGTGTGTGTGTGTGTGTCTAGGAAGGTCATTGTGTGTGTGAGCTTCTCCCTTTTCACACTTCATAAGAAACAACACATTCTTCATTTCTGCTGCTAACACCACAGCAGTGTGTGAGTGTGTGTGTGTGTGTGTGTGTGTGTGTGTGTGTGGCAGAGCGGTGCAGTGGTCTGTGACGGGCAGCAATCCCATAATAATGTCAGTCACGTCCGGTCTGGAGCACTGCAGCAACCCGGCAACGGACTTAAATAAAACATCAAACACACATACACATAAACAAACACATAAACAAACACATCAACACACACATAAACAAATGCGTCCAGGCGCTTAACCTGCATGTGCAGAGTGCAACGCACACAAAGCATCCAAAGCAGGGGTCTCACACTCAGACCACCTGGGGGCCACTAGCCCGGTGGTCTTCTCCAAGAGGGGGTGGGTAGAAAAAATGCTGAGAAAACGTGTGAATTTTAACTACATATCATAGACGAGATATAAATGTCTAGTAGTAGGAAGAAAGACTGATAGACCTTGGGGGTCCCACTCCTCTTCCTCTGTCAAATTCGATCTGCTCCTTTCCAGAAAAGGCGTTACAGGTTCTCAGACCACAACAATCATTTTTCAGGGTTCATTTATACCTTATGGAATTTCTCTAATGAACTCTTGAGCCACTAAGGCTGCGTTCACACAGCAGGGAAAAGCTGTCTGAATCTGTTTTTTTAGGCTGTTCAGTGTGAACAGATCAGCTCCTAAACTGACCCTCTTCACCCAGCTCATCCAGAGATAAACACTCTGAGTAGTGCGATCAGGATCAAACACTCCTGGAGGATCAGCTCCATCTTCTCCACCATCACAGGAGCTAGGTATATAAGGTGTTTCCAATAAAGTGGCCAGTTAATGGAAATAGAAGGTGGATGTTTCTAATAAAGTGGCCAGTTAGTGGAAGCAGAAGGTAGGTGTTTCCAATAAACTGGCCAGATAGTGGAAGTAAAAGGTAGGTGTTTCCAATAATGTGGCTAGTTAGCAGAAATGGAAGGTGGGTGTTTCTAATAAAGTGTCCATTTAGCGGAAGTAGAAGGTGTGTGTTTCTAATAAAGTGGCCAGTTATTGATGTATCTAAAGGTGCTGATTCGACTGCATCAGTTTTGAAACCCTAAACTGAGTCGTATCTGATTTTCGTCCCCGAGTGTGACGGTTCTGGTACGCAGTGGTTCTGGAGTGTGTGTAAAGCGTCAGATCTGAACTGCTGGCTGTTTCTGTACCGCGTGTTAAATTTTTAACAGCCTCCTCGTTCCTCGACAGCAGGTGCGGTACAGTAATAATGGAGCAGGAGGAGAAACTGAGAGCGGTACAGTGCTCCTCATCACAGCTCTCTCTCTCTGTCTCTCATCCACTCTCAATCTCTCTCGCCCTTACACTCTCCTACCACTCTCTCTCATCTGTTCAGTCTCCCTCGCATTTCATCTTTCTGACTCTTACCACTCGTTGTCTCTCTCTCAGCCTCTTCTTCCCACCCTTTAACTCTCAGGTCTGCGTTATGGCTGATCTCAGACCTGCTGGCTCAGCCCTGGTGCTTTGGAAATTGCTAATAAGTAATGGTGGTTAATAAAAACATGAAGCTGCTTTTGGATGAACTGTCTTCCTATATTGCGTGTAGGGTTGCCACCTTTTTCGCACCAGCATTATGTGACAGGCACATCTCCGAACAATAACAACACACTGTTGAATGATATACGGACTAACATTAGGCCAAAAAAGTGAGTTCATTCAGCTCAACAAACACCACCCAACAGGACAAAACATGCACTAAGCTGCGAGAGGAGCTCATTTTCCTTCTCCCTGCAGTTCGACTGTGACCTGAAATGTTGTGAATTTCAGTCGTCTCGTCACGAACTTGATGATTAAGGGTCAAATTGAGCTCAGTTTAAGCCGTTAGCCTCGTCTTCAGATCACGGAAAGGAATATAAACGGTTGCACTGTTTTCTACGAAGCTGAAGTCGCTTCTTATTCACCGGCTTCTTGTTTAGTAAGAGGTGCCAGAATATAACTGTAACTGTATAAGGGGGAACAGAAATATTCAAACAAGAGGCAGACAGGATGCCAACTTCAGCCTCATCCATTTTTTTAGCAGCCAGTTTTGTTATTATATTGTGGAGATGTGTATTCGAGCATGACTGCTGTTACTGAGGAGCTCTGAGTTATGAGCTCCGAGTTTGAAGATCTGAGTTTGGAGCTCCAACTTTGAAGCTCAGAGTTTGGTATGTGAGTTTGGAGATCTGAGTTTGGAGCTCAGAGTTTCGTATCTGAGTTTGAAGCTCAGAGTTTGAAGCTCAGAGTTTGGTATCTGAGTTTGAAGCTCAGAGTTTGAAGCTCAGAGTTTGGTATCTGAGTTTGAAGCTCAGAGTTTGGTATCTGAGTTTGAAGCTCAGAGTTTGGTATCTGAGTTTGAAGCTCAGAGTTTGAAGCTCAGAGTTTGGTATCTGAGTTTGAAGCTCAGAGTTTGAAGCTCCGAGTTTGAAGCTCCGAGTTTGAAGCTCCGAGTTTGAGGCTCCCAGTTTGATGCTCCCAGTTTGATGCTCCCAGTTTGGAGCTCCGAGTTTGAAGCTCCGAGTTTGGTATCTGAGTTTGAAGCTCAGAGTTTGAAGCTCAGAGTTTGAGGCTCCCAGTTTGATGCTCCCAGTTTGAAGCTCCCAGTTTGAAGCTCTGAGTTTGAAGCTCCGAGTTTGAAACTCTGATTTTGGTATCTGAGTTTGGAGCTCCGAGTTTGAAGCTCTGAGTTTGAAGCTCCGAGTTTGGTATCTGAGTTTGAAGCTCAGAGTTTGAAGCTCAGAGTTTGAGGCTCCCAGTTTGATGCTCCCAGTTTGATGCTCCCAGTTTGAAGCTCCGAGTTTGGTATCTGAGTTTGGAGGCTCTGACAGGCATGTCTCCTCTCATTGGATTTATGAGTCAGGAGGATATAAACTCCTCCATTCTAGACTCTGTTACTCTGAGTCAGTCATTCATACAGTTATTCTGATAAACTGGGTGTTTCCTTTCAAATGAGACTGAGATCATGACTGTAGCCCAGAGTATGACAGAACAGTGCCCCCTTTACTTTGGGTATGAAGTATCAGGCTAAAATGGGGTTTACAGGTTAAAACATTTTACAGGTTAAGTCTCAGTAAATGAAACGTTAAATTCAGACGTATTGTGGTCATTAGGGCAGGTTTGGTCAGCACACACTCTCACCCTGAAGAACTCTTTGGTGGATCCAGCGTCCAGCGTTCCGTATGCTATCTCCGTCTGCTTGGCCAAATCCTCGGCACTCTCTATGGGAGACACCATCCGCTCCACGGTGAGGAACGCAGCCAGATTAGCCGTGTAGGAGGAGATGATGATCAGGGTGAAGAACCACCAAACACCTCCTACGATACGACCTGAGAGAGACCTGCGAGAGAGAGACAAAGAGGGAGAGGAGAGAGAGAGAGAGAGAGAGAGAGAGGCTTTAACGATCAGATCTAAAAAACGTTTTGGGAACAGTTCTCTTCTGATCTGTGACCCGAAGTCCTGTTTGGAGGGAATATGTTTCCACACACACTTTAAATTGGCCTTGAAACTAAACCTGAACCGCCATCCACGCAGCAGACGGGGCTAGAACTTTAAGAAGGGGTGGCCAGGTCAGACCCAGAGATTTTGTCAGGGATGTCACTGTTAGTCCAGTATGGAACTGTGCCACACGGCTGAATCTCAGAGGGCTATTTATTAGACATGTGATGCACTTTATGGGTGCAGGAGCCACTATTTTAATATGTGGTGCACTATGTAGGGAGCAGGGAGCCATTTGAGATACAGCCAGTGTTTTGATCAGGACTCGGAGGCGCAGCGTGTTGTTTTGAATGAAACAGCTTTGTTGTACACAGAGCGTCTGTAGGGGCTGCGTTTCACGTGCAGTGTGAACTCCCATGTCGCGCCATGTCAGTCGTTTTTGCACAGTGTGAGTGTATAAATCTCACACAGAGGCAGCCTGTAACACCAGCTCTACACACACACTGCACTCAGAGTAACTCAGCACAGTGACATCATCAGATTAATTACCCTCATTATCATTAATTTACTCTGCACTGCTGATACGATCAGAGGTACATCACCGCAAACACACACACACACACACCACACACACACACACACTCATGTACACACACACACTCACACACTCACTCACACACACACTCACATACGCTCACACACACTCATGTACACACACATACACACACACTCACAAACTCACACACACACACACACACGCTCACACACATACAAACATTCACACACACACGCTCACACAGACACACACATACACACACACACGCTCACACATATACACAGACACACACACACACACACATACACGCTCACACACAGACACACACACACACACTCACACACAGACACACACTCACACACACACGCTCACACAGACACACACATATACACACACACACACGCTCACACACAGACACACACACACACACACAGACACACACACACACACACACACACACACATACACACACACAGAGTCTTTAGCCATTCCAGTGTGAACAGCCTGCTGCCAAATAATATTAATAACAGTGCATACAACCACTCTCTCTCTCTCTCTCTCTCTCTCTCTCATCTCTCTCTCCCTCTCTCTCATATCTCTCTCTCTCCTCCCTCTTCCCTTTATCTCTCTCTCATATCTCTCTCTCTCCTCCCTCTTCTCTCTCATCTTTCCTCTTTCTCTTTCTCTCTCTCCCTCTCTCTCTCTCTTCTCTCTTCTCCCTCTTCTCTCTCATCTCTCTCTCATCTCTCTCCTCTTTCTCTCTCTCTCCATCTCTCTCTCCTCTCTCTCTCCTCTCTCTCTCTCTCCTCTCTCTCTTTCTCTCTCTCCCTTCTGTTTTTCTCCTCCTCTCTCTGTCCTCTTTTTTCCTTTCTCTCCTCTTTTTCTCTTTCTTTCTCTCTCTCCTTTTTTACTCTTTCTCTCTCTCTCTCTTTGAAGAACTCTGTATCTTTTATCTGAAATAACAGGCTGGCATTTAATGTTTTCCTCCTGACCCTCACTGCTGTGTGTGTGTGTGTGTGTGTGTGTGTGTGTTAAGGACAGAGCGGCTGTTGCTGATGCGCTGCAGAGCAGGAATGAATTCTAAACAGGAGAAAGAGAGAGAGAGACAGAAAGAGAGAGATAGATGGAGAGAGACAGAGAGAGAGAGAGAGAGAGAGAGAGAGAGAGAGACAGAAATAATAATAATAATGATAATAATAGAACATTTAAATCCAGAAGGTGATCATGGTTCAGTCCTGTGTGTGTTTCATGTTTTTGATGTATTTATATCGTGTGGGAGGGGGCGGATCTTCCCAGCATTCTTAGCATGGTTTTGGCTCTATTAATGATCCTTGACCTTTTCATCAGCAGCTCCATTCAGGTTTGAATCTATTTAACATCTCTCTGTTATTATACCCATCACTGAGTTTGTGTTCAGTGAGTATTTTGGTTGTAATAAAAATAAACAGCATTTACAGCCAGATCAGTTTATAAACGCTGATGTAAGAGAGATCAACAACCACACAATAAAATCGAGAAAAACACTGAGATTTTCCTCCGATTTAAAGTAAATGCTGATGTAATATGTAAACATGTAAATATGTAGAGGAGGAGATAGAGGAGGTGGAGGTGCTGGAGGAGGAGGAGGAGGAGGAAGAGGAAGGGGAGGAGCTGGAGGAGGAGGAGGAGGAGGAAGAAGAGGAAGAGGAGGAGCTGGAGGAGGAGAAGGAGGTAGTGGAGAAGGAGGAGGTGGAGGAGGTAGAAGAGCAGGAGGAGGAAAAGGAGGGGGAGGTGGAGGAGTTGAAGAAGGAGGAAGAGAAGGGGTTAGAAAAGGAGGAGGAGCTGGAAGAGGTGGAGGAGAAGGAGGTAAAGGAGGTGGTGGAGGACGTGGAGGAGGTTGAGGAGGTGGAAGAGTTTGAGGAGGTGCAGGAGCTGGAGGAGGAGTTTGTGGAGGAGGTGGAGGAGGAACTGGGGAGAAGGGACAGGAGGAGGGTTTGGGGAGAAAGTGGAGGATGTGAAGGAGGAGGAGGTGGAGAAACTGGAGAAGGAGCTGGAGGAGGATGTGAAGGAGGAGGAGGTGGAGAAACTGGAGAAGGAGCTGGAGGAGGATGTTGAGGAGGAGCAGGTGGATGATGTGGAGGAGGTGTAGAAGGTTGAGGAAGTGTAGGAGGTGGAGGAGGAGGAGGAAGAGGAGGTGTAGGTCTTGTAGCTGGTCTCTCTGCTCGTGCAGGACTCCGAGGTCTCTGAGTGTGAATTTGAACATTCTGTCACTGCAGTGTTGTTTGCAGCCAATGAGAGGAGACGTGCCTGTCAGAGCGCAGTGATATGATTGGCTGGCTGTGACAGAGTGTAAACGTCTAATCAGTGTGTATCTGTGTGTGTGTTTGTGTGTGTGTGTGTGTGTGTGTAATGAATGCGGAGTGACAGGCGTGTCAGAGTGTATACGGTCCAGCACACACACTGCCTCTCTCACACACACACACACACAACATCCACAGCATCAGTGAGACAGAACTGATACAACACACACACACACACACACACACACTCACACACACACACACACACAGTCACACACACTCCATATGTATATATCCTTGTTTCTACACTGACTGTCCACTATATCAGCTCCACTGACCGTATAGTTTCACTCTGTAGTTCCACAGTTACAGACTGTAGTCCATCTGTTTCTCTGCATACTCTGTTACCCTGTTCTTCAGGGGTCAGGACCCCCACAGAGCAGGTACTATTTGGGTGGTGGGTCATTCTCAGCACGTACCACCAAAACAGCTCTGGTCCTCTAAGGCATGGACTCTACAAGACCTCCGAAGTTTCTCTGTTGTATCTGGCACCAGCAGATCCTTTAAGTCCTGTAAGCTGCAAGGCTGAGATGCTGATCTGCTGTCCCAGCTCGTCCCAAAGACCCTCAGATTGAGAACTGGGGAGTTTGAAGGTCAGGCCAACTCCTCCAACTCTCCATCATGTTCCTCAAACCGTTCCTGAACAATATTTTTGGCAGGTCATCCTGCTGAGAGAGGCCACTGCCATTGGGCAACACCATCGCTGTAAAGGGTGTACCTGGTCCTCAACCTTGTTAAGGTAGATGGCACGTGTCAAACTGACGTCCACGTGAATGCCCAGACCGGAATACCGGTGCATCCTGGTCCATGGTTTCTCCAGGTAAAAGGTGCCAACCTACTTGGCTGGTGTAAAAGAAAATGAGACTAGACCAGGAGATCTTCTTCCATCGCTCCAAGGACCAAGTCCGGTGCTCGTGTGGCCATCGTAGGAGCTTTCGATGGTGGACCGGGGTCAGCTTGGCACTCTGAAGCCCATTTTATTCCACAGCAGACGTGGTAACCTTGCCGTGTGTGATACACTCCTATGTTAATCAATGCAGCCTTTCACACTGGCTACGCTACAGTACACAATCTAGGCCAAACTAATCAACCTACGTGAATCTCCCTCTCTTCATACAGCTCCACATCATATAGTGAGAAAGCATATTCATAGAACATGATCCTCACAGGTTTCATATCAAAATGCTCCGTTATCTTCATCACTACTTTCCAAAACCACTGCAGCAGCTTCAGCAGCTGTAAACTCTCTGAGCGCCATTTCACATGAGTCTCCGATGTGGACTGAATGAAGAATGAAGGGTTTCCGGCGTGATGGTCAGTCCTTAGTGATTTCCTGAGTGTCCATTGGTCAGTTTCACACAGAATGTAGACGGACACACGAATCCACCAGTTCCACACGGTGAGAGGCAGATGACGTGTATCTCAGCCCCTCTTCATAGGCTCATAACTCCGGATGTGAGTCTCGTATGATCTCGTGATGAGAGGGAATGGAAAGGGCGACTCTACAGATTCAGGAAGTGTTTGAACTGGATTTCTGAGCTGGATCATCACAAAGA